TCTTAAATTTGAACAAAGAGTAAGTTTATTGTCAATGTAAATGTGTATTTCTTTATTTAGAAATTATTTTCCATCAGCAACAAGTTAAAATTTGACTGAAGTAATAAATATCTCTTTTCTTCTTGAAATGCAATAGAATAATGACATGTCCAAAAAAGAAAGAGAAAACTCATTAATTAAGCTATTTCTCTGCTCAGATACTAATGATTGCCACCAAGGACATAAATGGTCATTTATGACAGTCATAGGCCTGGATCAAACTTGTTTTCCATTTTTGCCCCAATATATAAAAAGTAACATAATTACTAAATTGGTATAAGTTTACACTAAAGAATTAAGGTATTATAATTAATGGGACTTATCTTTCTTATTAGTACATATATCTAGTCAGATATTTAAGGCTTATATTAATTTATATTAACTTTAGCGGGTATTATAGAGAAACTGTGAATGCACATACTACATAGTTACAAATAATAACAATAGCATAATTTGATGATATGTCAGTATATGCACAATGTGATTAAAAAATACAACTATATGGTGGATGTTCAAATAAAGGATTAGATCCTTCAATTACAGTAAAAGAGACACACAGCCACTAATACCCCTCAAATACTTCCCTCAGCTCAAACCCATTTATCCCACCACTCTTGCCAGTTTTTGAACACCCTAAGAGCCTTAGTCACACAAATTCAAGTAAGTGGAAATTAATCTTGCATTTATAAATTATTCAGGTGACTATATATCAAAATAGAGATATGGGATTTCTGCCAACCTTCAAAAAAGTTTTCCAGAACTTCAAAAAGTTTTTAAAATCTGCCTAATTCCAGCCATTATCAGAAAAACAAAATCAGAGCTTTATTTTCAATTAACTGTTACTTGAAGTTCATTTGAACAGCCATTAATATTATAAATATAAATTATAAATGTCTAAGTTTGGCATGAGAAAGGAAGTCTGAGAAATTCTGTTAACTTTGCAATTAAAGTTAATTCTGTTAACTTTGGTCTGATGTCTGTAAGAAAGTTTTGAGGACCACTTGTATTTTCAGAGCATATTTTATTCATAATGATGCGGTATAGCCTAGTATCAGACGTACAGTAAATATTTCACAAATATTTGTTAAATGAATCAGAATTGGCTTTCCAGGCTACAAGCTATGTGACTAATGCTGGGTGCTGCATCTTGGTCTTTAAAATTAGATTGACTCAATAAAATAACAGCCACACATGCATAGTGGAAGACACTGTGTACCTTTGCCACTTTACATTTGACATATAAGAAGATTGTGCAGAGTGTACTCAAAATGAATATAACAACCACCAGTCCAGCTTGTGTCCTGATCTGTATGTAACTATTTAGCATAGTAACGTTCTGTAGCCAGGTCTGCTAGGTCTATATAAATAGCTGGGTTGTAAATGAAAAAAAATTTAAGTCAGGGAGTTTAGCAGAAGAACCAAATTGAACAAAACAAAAGGATAATTAGAGAGCACAGAAGGGAATCAATTTGTCCCCTGGGTAAATATCTATGTAAAACTATCTCTTACTTCCCATTTTTCTCCATGTAATTTTGTATCTATTCCACTGCATCTTTTTTTAACTCTCCATAGTACCCTTACTGAACCATAATTCAGATTATAATTCGGACAATTTATTTGAGACATCAAAACTGTTGGGGAAGGACAAGATTTAACAACTGAATTTTAAATCCCATTGAGTTTGACTTGAGTAAGTGATCTGACTAAATTAAGAAAGTGAAAGATTAACACCACACAAGATTTCCTTCATCTAGACATGTGTGTGCCTATCTCCCTGGAACCTCCTCCTGGGAAAACAAAGGCTCTATGACATCTCCGCTTCCATGCAACCTTTTCCACAGGTGTCACTTCTAATAGAATGAATGCTAAGGACAAAGGAAATTGAACAGGGAAAAACTTTCCCAAGTACCCTTAAAGTTTTGTGGGTGATTCCAAGACTACTGGAATTCTAAAAATGAACTTATGCATTTATTTTATTAACTGCTTACTTTCAAAAAGAATTTAAGGCCATAACAATGAAATGCTCAGTGCAAGGAAGCTAGACCACTTAAGAAGCCAAAAATAGGAAAAAAGAATACAGAGATATGCAAGAGAGAAAGGGTTCTTAGAATGATGGTACCTGGAGGAAAACTATTTAAACTTTGCTGAAATAATAAACACAAAAATAGATGTAAATTTCCCTATCAGGCACACCGAAGAAACACAGATGTCTATCAATTTCCAGCAAAAGTGAACATACCATTTCTGCAATGAGTATGTGTGCAATGAGTTTGTGTGCCAAAAAATAGGAAGTCAGAGATAAATTGTCTCTTAAATTATCTACTATGCATGAGATGATTTACATACATTCATATGTAATCAAGGCCACACGATTGTGAAGTTAATATTAATTTAATTTTAAAGAGATAAAATTGAATCTTCAAGAAGTTATAATTTGAACAGACTCAATCTTAGGAAGTTACTTCAGTAGAACATTTAGCTTATACCTGTCTAAATCCATAGCTCATAGACTTAAAGCAGTGAGGACTCTTATTTCTCTCTCATCTTTGCCTTCCAGTTTAATGGATACAAACACACACACACACACACACACACACACACACAAGCTTTTGGTTCTGTTACTAGACTACCTTCAGGGAGACTTTACAGAAAATGCCTGAAATTAAAGTTACAAGCACAATATTCTCATTCCACATTTGTAGTCACAATTATAGCCCCCACTTATATGAAGTACAAAATGCCTTCTCATATCTTATTCCACCATACACCTATGTATTTTTTTTTTTTTTTGAGACAAGGTCTTGGTATGTAGTTTAGGCTGGCTTTGAACTCACTATGTAGCCCAAGCTGACCTCAAACTCATTGTGATCCCGATGCCTCAGCCTCTTGAGTGCAGGCATTGCAGGAATATACTACTATGCCTGACAACCTATGTCTTAACAGAAAGATGCACATACCTCATTTGTTACATGTTGTGATGTTCTATTCATTTTTTTCTGTATGAGATCATTTATGAGTTATGCTGAGACTACAGTAGTTGGTTTCAGAGAGAAATAAATCATGCAAAGATGAAAAAGCTGAGGTAATTTTGTCCTATATAAGTCTCAAAATAGTTACCATTTCAGAAAACAGGATTTATACTTAGTGCAACTTCGGTCTAGCACCACCTGACAAAGAATCTGATGTGACTGTCTAGGTAGTAGCAGGAATCAGTGGCACAGAGAATTAGTTCCTAGAGAGAAGCTGAGTTGATTGACATAGGAGACTGCCAAAGACTGGGGAGAAAATCTACACTTCAGAGGAAAAACTAGAGACAAGACAAATTGTGTTAGAGAGATCTTCATCCCAAGCAGGAAACTGGGCAGGAGTACAGTCATTTAGGCCAAGCCTGAAAGCCACAGGTAAGGGGAGACTTTGCTGATGAATGCTCAGGGGCTCATATCCTTCCTTTGGAACGTGGGTCTCTACAGGATAAAAGTGTGAGCAGCATAGAGCTGGGTGAACAATGTCTGACGGTGGGCACCTTATGTATTGGACCTTGTGGTTGGCTTCATTATTGTGAAGGCTCTTACTCTGCAACAGTGAATTACAGAGGAGTAAAGTCACTTGCACAAGAGTCACCTGTGGCAAATTCATGACCAGAATTTCAGTTCTATGGATTTTCTTCTGAAATACCTTCTACCCATTTCTATACAACGAAGGCGATAAGAGCGCAGAATTATGTCTATTGAGATTCATGTCTCATATTGATCCTTTAGTATCATATCACAGTCTGATCACTTACATCTCATGGTGGTCCAATAAAAGGAGAATCCCTATAGATGTTTCAATGTTGAAAGTACTAATAGTTGTAAGTACACTAAAATATGACTTAATTTGAAGTTCTTTCCTGTGCTAAATATATTTGAATTGCCTTAAAAACAATTCATGATTATTTTAGTTATATTGAATTGTGCACCAAGATGGAGTTAGAAAAAGAAAGTCCCTAAACTGAATTATTGCACTATGATTTACACTGCATAATAGCCCATCCCAAAGCATATTATTCATATAGTCAAGAGAAAGTCAGAGGTCAAAGTAAAGCCTACATGTGACGCCCGAAGTAGTAAGACACAGAGAGGCACGGGTTGTTTTGACCCATCGTATACCGGGAATCTAGAAATGTACTGTAGAGTGTATTGAGTTCAAATTGAATAGCACATGTCATAAACTATTGTTTAATCCATTTCACAAATTTAAATTAACCACTGAATAGGCTGTCAAAATAGTAGCACTTCAGAAGCTCATGTATGCACTGTAAATTCTCACAATTTCTATTTCTGAAAATTAAAGTATACTTTTAAAGTATGTTTACTGTTCTCCTTTCCTTTCTCTATTTTCAGGCTTATCAAAATATTTAGTTTTAATGATGCATACAGAGAAACATAAATAGTCCAAGTATTGTTAGCTAAGAGCACTGCCTGATAGATGACATCTACAAATTCCATGACTGCTTCAAGATCAACATTTTTACTAATTATACCTAGGATATATACCAGAGATGGCAATCTAAATTGACTTGAAATTCTATCACAAGGTTATCTTTCTAGTTGTACTGCCTTTGATTAGTTATGTCTTATTAATTGTCACATTGCATTATATCTGTGCACAGTATGATCCTACATAACATAATGCAGGGAAAAGAGAAGCAATGTGAAAAGTTGCAGGCATAACATTTTAATGAGACAGCGCTTGTGTTGAATCTGAATACCTGCAGTTAATTCAGAGAACAAGTATTTGAGTTAAAATTTTTGACATGTTTAGCAAACCAAGTATTCATTAAAGTAGGCGAGGTAGACACACTGGAAGAACACCTGGTGACAATTACTACATCCGCAGTTCCTTGAGCAAGAAATAGACTTTATACAGGTTGAAGTACACAGTGCGCTGGTAGTATGAAACGCTTTATCTTTCTCCTTCAGGTCCTAAAGGGTTTCCCAGAATGCTTACAAGCTGACATTTGTCTACATCTCAACCAAACTCTGCTGCAAAACTGCAAAGCTTTTCGAGGTGCAAGTAAAGGTTGCCTTAGAGCTCTGGCAATGAAGTTCAAGACTACTCATGCACCTCCAGGAGACACCCTTGTTCACTGTGGCGATGTGCTGACAGCACTGTACTTCTTATCCCGAGGCTCCATCGAAATCCTCAAAGATGACATTGTGGTAGCTATTCTGGGTGAGTGCTTTAGAACTGAATACTGACAAATTCAATCATTACCTATAGCTGTTAGTAGGTGTAGCAGTACATAATTTAAAATGATAGGTAAAAGGTGAACTTTAATACTGGTGTGTAATTCAACAGATGTATTTAAAATGCAATTCAAAACAAATTGACCTTGCTGGAGATATGTTTTAGTGACTGTCTCAGTTTTCCTCCAGTGAGCAAGTGCTTCAGTGATTCTCTTCTGTTTGGGCAGCCATTTAGACATTTGAGGCCAAACCTATGAAAATAGCATTTTCTTCTCATTTTAGACAACTTTGGCTTCATGTTTTATCCCTTAAAATCTTAAAACAAAGTATAAAAGTACATGTATATGCTAGCACGAGCCATTGTCCTGTTATGAAGTGGATTTATGTTCTGTGAATTTCACATATTCACTGTATACTTATACAAATAGAACTATGAGTTTATATCTAAGTAATATGAAGCTCTGAACAGAACGTCAAGGATAAAGGTGATGATGAAATTAAAATTAGTAATAAACTGATCAGAATGCAAAAGCAAACCCATGTTTTAATCTGTTTTATCTATTTTAATATAAACTTATGCCACATGACTTTGTGGGATTTCTTCAGACTATTAGGACAGAGGGGCACAGCAGGGGACCAAAGCAAGCCAGGTTTGTTTCCATTCCGACCAGCTAACAAGGAAGTTTAAGGACCACAGTTCTCAGCTAACATCCACTGCCAGTATCTCTGAAACTTCCTAGTTTTTTCCAGCTCCATTTTAATAATGAGCACGGAATATAACAATTTCCTTTCACTTCACTCTAGATGTTTACAAATGATGTTTCCTTTGCTTCTGTGCAAATCCGGAGGGCAGCAGGGCAGAGGACCTCATCCACAAAGGAAGACATTTGAGAGATTCCCTATGCAATTTAACAATTTTATTATGATTACAATTTTTTAAATTTTCATAAAATCTGTAAGATACAAAATTTGGTTCCCAATCTAATAAGCAAACCAACAATGAAAGCACTCTAAATTACGTCAAGGCTAGTAGTTTTCACAAGATTTGGCTTCGACTGCTTAGCCTGCTATGTGGCCAGGAGGAGCATGGTCCCCTGCATTTCCGATCTTCAGTCCTACTTTTCTGTGTAGTTAAGATATGATATTTGACTTCTCCCCTATTAAATTCTCATTTGAATAACAATGTTATAGCAAATTTTACTCATTAGAATTTCGTTGTTTAAAAGACTTTGATAGTTTTCAGAGAGGGTAGTTCTCACAGGTATATGAGGTTATCTAACAAGATCTACAATGACATAAACAGGAAAATTTTCCCTAAATCTAAAAAGAAGCTTCAGAATAGGTTTAAGAAAGTGCTATTTTACAGACATTAAGGATCCTTAAAAGTAACATAATCAAAACACTCTATCAGAATTTAGTAAATTCACATATCACACAAGTATCTTGATGTTCAGCAATAGAAAAATGGCCCAGATATTCAGGGAAAATAGCAAAAGGAGATTCAATAGATCGCATATGTGAGAACACTGACTCTAGAGTCACAGTGCATGGGGTTTAATCCTGGCTGCACTCTCCCTCCCTCCACTTTACCCAACTAAGAAGGTCACCTTGGGCTAATCAGTTTACCTCTTTAATCCTCTTTCAGTATTTATAAAATTTGGATAATAATTAGTAATTTCTTCTTGAAGTTATTTGGAGGATAAAAATGAAATAATATAAAACAATACACCTAAGCATTTGACACAATGCCTGTCACCTACTTAGTCCTCAAAATAAATTATTAGTGTTGCTGTCATTCTTATCCTTATTAATCAGCAAGACTGAAAATCAGGTGGTATAGCTCGGTAGAGGTGATGGGGGGTGGGGGTTGCTGAGTAGAAGCCAGATGCTGAAATTACTATGGGTTTTAGAGAACACAAGCGGTCAAACTTTCAAAGCAGGGCAACCTCTTCTGTCCCTCTCTTGGACAGATGCTTTCTTTCCCTCAATAAAAATATTCTGCTCTTAAAAAAAATCTTTCAAAGCAAAGGCCACTTGATGAAAGGCATGTCTACATCTGTTGAAATGATATAACTAGATATTTTAAGTAATTGGGCAATTTTATAAGAGCAATACAAAGATGGTTATTAAGAGAAATTAAATCTGTTCAAGAAGGAAGAGGAATATATATACATATATACACACATATATATAAGAATAGCTGGGATGTTGATGTCTGATGGTATATTGAAAGGAACAGTTAATGCTTAAAATTTTTTATATTTTGACCAATTTTGCATGCTTATATCTGGTAATCTGAGCAACTGATTTGAAGACAACAATACGCAATGGAACGACCATTAATGAACTGCTACCATCTTGTCTAGTGAAACTGTATTATCTCTAAAGTTTTATTAGTAATTATTATTTTATTCCCTTTAATACTTTGAACAATCTTCCATTCTTACATCTGGTTATCTAAGCAATGTAGTTGAAGATAACAATACGTAATATAACAACCAGTTAATTCCTATCATTTTGTTTAGAAACCCTGTGTCACTTTTAATGTTCTTGCTTTGCTTTGTTTATGTCTGCGATGTTGGTATGCTAGTATTGTTCTTTTTTTCCTTACTACTCTCTCTAAAATTTTTTTAAAAATTTCTGCTCTAATCATCTAAACTTTGAAAGAACTCTACCATAAACTGTTTCTTGGCAGTCCCTCTGGAATTTATCCTGAAAGCAAATTTATATCTGACCCGCTGTGGCTTTTCTCATGTTTCTGGAAGTATCTTTAAAATACTTTATGACAATAATTTTTGCTGGCAATGGGGGGAGGGTTACCAAAGTGAAAACTTGCTTGTTATATTCTAGATACATATCCAAAGACTCACAACCAGCAAATGAAAGAGATTATGCAAGACTAGTGACTGCTGGAGTCAAAATTCCATTCAGCCAACATGGATGGGGCAGTCAGTCAGTCCAGACCCACCAACTTTGAGGCCATGGGGTCTTATATTTGAAATCTGTGACTCCGGAATTTGCCAGTTGGCCAGTGGTCTCTTTCTGCTTTTGGAAGAAATATATTCAGAGTCCTCTTCTTTCATTTTTTTTTTCTTTAGGAAAAAATGACATATTTGGAGAAATGGTTCATCTTTATGCCAAACCTGGCAAGTCTAACGCAGATGTAAGAGCTCTCACATACTGTGACCTGCATAAGATTCAGCGGGAAGACTTGCTGGAGGTTTTGGATATGTATCCAGAGTTTTCTGATCACTTTCTCACAAATCTAGAGTTGACTTTCAACCTAAGGCATGAAAGTGCAAAGGTATATTTTAACCATATCCTTATTTTTGTATTTGTGACATTTTATTTTATTCTTGAATTGCACAAATACTTCTGAAAAATTAAACAAAATGTTGCAACAAAACTTAAGAAATTCTAAATATAGAGAAGGAAAGGGCAGCTGGATACTGAAATGTAAAGTAAACAGAAGGAATCAACCTACTTACTTTTAAATATGTTGAATACTTTTGAATATGTTGAATACTTTTAAGCATGTTAATTAAGTTTTACACTTCAGAAACCCATAGGTGAAATATGTAGGTTAAAATGGCTTGGTGCTGACTGTGTCAATTATTTGCAAGAAATAGACAATTTTAGGCTATAGATAAAATATCCATTCAGCTATTATTTATACCATATACTGGTTACCACTGACTTTTCAATAATAATGGAAAGATTAATGTCATTCAGACATAGGTCCATAATCAACAAAAATTTTAACTCAAAGAAATATAAATTAATTATGTGTTACAGTAGACTCAAAATTAATACTGCAAAATGAATAATATATGGTCTAATAGAAATAATATTTTAAATAATTCTCCACATTATTTAACCTAGAATAAATTTTGACAGTAGTTCATGAGACCTGTCCCTGAGCTTTTCCACTATGATAATAAGTCTTTCTGAACCACTACTATACTATGGATATAGGAATTATGTGGTAGCCCACAATTTATTAATAGGTTATTCCTCCTGCATCCCTTTCTCCCCAGAAACTCCCAGCCTTGCCCCAGTCCTAAAAACTGTTTCAAAATCATAAATCAAGTACTGGGCACTTGATACTTGCCAGTATACTTACATGCTAACTAGTGCACTATCTGGAGAAAAGATCTTTAAGTCCATATCCAGGTAAAATGTAGATTTAATTCTTCTTGGAGCTAGTTATTCTCAGTCACTCTGAGAGATATAAAGAAAGAGAGCAACTTTTAAGGTGCCAGGGTGCCATTCAATGCCCAGATGTACCAGCTCAGATAAATGTCTCTTTCCAAACACCGAAAAGATAAAAAATTATTCAGGTGATAAAAGCTTATTAGGAGTGTATATTATTACAGTGGTTTTAATTCAGTAGTTTCTCAAAATCCTAATCAAATGTCACCAATTTCATTCTAATTTAATCTTGAAAACTAACAAATAACTATCTTAGGTTGTTTCTTTATTTAAAAATACAGGCAGCAGAGGAATACAATAGGAGCTTCCATTTTTATTTATAAGATGGATATTTTACAGTGAACAAGAGGGGAGAAGGAGGTGGGAACAAATATAATAAAGGGCTCTAAACATAATGTTCCTTGAATTCAGCAACTTCATACTTGGTACTATGAAATTTAACCTTGTGATCATTACCATGTAATTTAAACATCATAGTTAATTATAATTAGCTTGTACATTTTTCTGTGCAGTGATGATTCTGTAAAGTTTTAAATTATTGTTCTTTTTCTTTTAACTTTACCAAGTTGCATAAAATACAATCACCATAAAGAAATAATTTGCTTCTAAATACTGAAATCATCTGCAAAAATTTCAAATAAATAACTTCAACTATGATTACCTCATCAGATGGTGAAACTACTAGAATTATTCCATCAGTCCATTTTATAATTTAGAGGCAACCATTAGGCAAAGTATTGCAACTGTTTGCTTGCAATCCAACAATTGACACTCAGAGTGATTGAAGTGATATGAAACAGTAGAGAATGGTGACAATTCATTCTATTTTAGCTGGGTAACTTCCCATTGCATCTTTATGATCCACTAACAAAGGCTTATCTCTTACTATAATCACAGTCCATGAATGATTCTGAAGGAGAAAACTGTAAGCTGCGAAGGAGGAGACTGTCTTTTGAAAGTGAAGGAGACAAAGGTAATTCATTCTATTTCTAAAGTTTAAATCTAGTGCATGTGGTTTTTAGATGTTCTTACTAAAATTCTCATTATAGTTCTGATTGTAAGAGTAAATTTCATGTAGGCTTTAGGAGGATAAATTCTTTGCTTTGTAAAATAGCTAATGATTTTCTGGTACTTGCTGGATAGTTTTCAACGTCATTCAATAAAACCATGTGATATTCACAAAGACTTCACAGATAAAGAAATAAAGTAAACTGGTTAAAAAGTGGAGGCCAATTAAGAATAGCTGAATAACTGCATCTTAGAGTTCTGAGCAGAATGTTGTGGAAGGAGGACTTCCCTCTGTTACAGGCCAGGAGCTGCCCCACTTGCATGTATGATATGGATGAAACTATGGTGTAGCCTTTCAATTGTGGATTTTATAACAGCAAAAAGTACACCCCAGTGGGTACCCAGGTGGGAATATGTTGAAATGTGTCTAGGCGGGTAAGAGTTTCATGAGCAGCCTTCTATTTTTGCTCCATACTGATCTCACATTCTAGTTATAATCTTTACTTGGTCTCAAAGCAATATCTGATACTATGAATCAACTCCCATCTTTTTTTCTTGAATGTTCTTTCCTTGGCACCTGCAGTACTTCAGTCTTCCTGTGTGCCTTATCTTCCCATAGCTTCAGGTCTTGCTGCATAGCTGGTACTCCACAAACATCAGTTGAAAGAATGAATGAAATAGATCTGAGAATCCTCCTTTTAATTCATTTCTTCTTTTGACCTCCCTCATTCAAGTGCTTTTCATGTTTCTTTTCTTTCCTCTTGGAATCATTTTTCTAGAAGAAATCATATACCAGCCTTAGTTTGTACTGCATATCAAGGGAACTAAAGTGCCCTCTTATCCATGTACGTTGTTTCTGTATTTTTATTATATCATTCCTTTAACTGGATTTGCCCCCTTGTTCTCAAATACACAAGCTTTGTAACTTACTAAATTATGATTTTATCAAGGTTGATCTCCAAGGATCACTTGTTTCTTTATTTTTTAACTTTAAAGGAAGAGAACAAAAACTAACACAGACTTAACGCAAAATAACACAAAACAAAACAATACACAATTTCAAACAAGGTGATAGGAAATCAATAACGGTTGTATTACATATCATTATCTTCAAACTGGTTACTCAGATAATCAGATATAGGCACATAAGATTGATCAAACAATTAAACATTAACTGTTCTTGTCAATAAACAATAGAAATTAGTAGTACAATTATCTTAGCTATCTTTGTGTGTGTGTATATATATGTGTGTATACACACACACATATATATACACACACACACAATTTTCCCTTCTTTCTTTCCTCTTTTCCCTCATTCCAGTTGTTCTTTTGTTTTGAGCAATTTCTTTCCCTCTTACAATATCAATTTTATTTTTCAGACTTTTTTACTCTTTCACATTCTTATACTAGAGAGACAATACGATGATTACACATGTGGTTCTAATTTATTACACTGACAAGAATGATCTCTAGCTGCATGCATTTACCTATAAAAGCCTTGAGTTTGTCTTTCTTTATAGCTGAGTAATATTCCATTATATTAAAATACCACATCTTTTATATCCATTTCTCAGTTGATGGGCATTTAGGTTGTTTCTATGATTTAGCTATTGCAAACTGTGCTGCAATAAACATGGATGAATATATGTCACTGTGGTATAATGTTTTTAGTTCTTCCAGAAATATCTCTAGAAGGGAAATAGTTAGGTTGAATTGGACCTCTAATCCTAGTTTACTGAAGAATCTCCAGAGTGTTTTCCAGTCTTTGCCCCAGTCTACACTCCCAGCAACAGTGGAGAAGGATTCCTTTTTCCCCAAAGCCCCTCCAACATTTGTTATTGGTTGATTTCTTGATGATACCATGTTTTCTGGTGTGAAATGGAAATTCGGTGTTTTAATTTGCATTTCTTGAACGACTAACGATGTCAAACAGTTTTTCACATATTTATTTGTCATTTGTTTTTCTTTATCTGAGAAGTATATATTCTTCACAGATGCCCATTTTTATATTGGGTCTTTGAATTTGGAGGTCCTGATTTTTTTTTAATTCTTTATATGTTCTAGATAGAAATCCTTTATCCTAGGGAAAGTTGGCTAAATTTTTTTCCCAATCCATGTATTTTCTTTTTACTCTGTTGGTGATTTCTTTTGATGTGCAAATCTTTTCTATAAAATGAGATCCCAGTTGTTGATTCTTTGAAGTATTTCCTACGTAACTTGGCTTTTGTTCATGAACTCTCTGCCTACCCCTATGTCAAGATTTTTACCTACTTTCTCTTCCAGTAGATATAGTGTTTCTGTTTTAATATTTGTATCTTTAATCCATTTTAACTTTAATTTAGTACATGGTGATAGACATGGGTCTAGTTTTAGTCTTCGGCATGTAGGGAGCCAGTTTTTCCAGCTCCATTTATTAGAGAGGTTATCTTTTTCCAGTGCACATGTTTGGCCCCTTTGGTCAAAGGATCACCTATTTCTTGATTTCCTTAAATGTTTAAGGTGTTTTATGAATTTTGAAGGTACTTTCCTATTATGACTTTGTCCCAGTCTGCCCTATACAGTTGCATAAATGGTGTAAGAATTTTGATAAATATTTGTTCAGTAGAACTAATAGTTCAATTCTTTGGTCAACTGTAAAGCAATAAACCACTCATAGATTATAACTGTTTTGTATAATGATCTTTTTCTCTCAGTGACTTTTTCTAAAGTTGGAAGTACCGTCAAGCTGTTTTTCCATAAGAGTTAAGCTAAATCCCTTATCCCAAATAAATGAAGAACAGCTTAACCATACTGTCTATATAATAAAGTGACCTATGCATTTGAAGATTTGTCAAATCTGCCTTCAATCTTGTTCAGTATCCTCATTCTTAAGTAAATAATTTAACACTTTCATCTCCTGATAAGGCCCTGAAATCATGTCAAAATTGACATTGTAGTCATGCAGTCAGACAATTCTATTGATTTTGAAAAATTTCTTTTTAATCACAGACCTCGTCCGTGAAATGCATTTTGTTCATAAAGTATAAATAGCAAAATATTTCACTATCTACAGCTCTTTGAAGTTTCCTGCTGTGTTAATGAATTACCATGAGCTGGACAGTGTGAAAACATAATTAACTCCACTTATCCAGAGTTTAAGAAACTGTTTCAAATTACTTAGAGTTCCAGGGTGCTGCAGGCAAGTGTAAAATTTTCAAAAAGACACTTCGTCCCTACCATCCAAATATAAGGCTCTTTAGAAGACCACCTATTTTATACTTTTTGTTTTCTTCTTTTTTATTTTAAAGAGAATAAAAAATAATTTTAAAAATTAGAAAGAATACAGAATTTCAAAAAATAAGATGATAGGAATTCAACAATGGTTATCATATTGCATATTGTTATCTTCAAAGTAGTTATTCAGATTACCAGATATAAGCATACAGAATTGGTCAAAAAAATAAGCATTAACTGTTCATTTCAATGAACCAATAGAAAAGTCTTGCTATGGAGTCAGCGTCCAGGAGAAAAACATTCACATAAGCATAGAGAGCAGAGAACCATCAGAGGATTTACTAATGCTAACTAGCATGTGGGTTCATAAACTAAAAGTGACCTGGCAAATTCCATGAATAGCTTAGTGTTCTTTTACTACACACATAAAACATAGCCTTAAAGACAGAATCTCAAGAGCAATGAAGACTGTGAAATCAATTAGCAGAGGTGTCAGGAACCTGAGGAGAGACCGTGGAGATCACAGGGCATTCAGGCAGGCAGAGGTTGAGTCCTGCATTACCCCTCACAACCTTCTCTCCAGGAGACTGGAACTCCTCTAGCTTCACCCACACCCACCTCCAGCTCCACCTACAACATGTGCTAAGGAGTGCACATTCAAAAAGATGAATTTTAAAAGGAAAAACTGCACAGAATCTCTGGCAAGTTGGCTTCCACATAATAAATTTGTTGATGAAGGTGGCTTGTCCTTATGAGCTTGTCTTCAGTTCTTTTAAGGAAATCCGCCCACTTCCCTACAAAAGAGAGTTCTCAGTTCAAATACAAATAGGAGGACTTGATATCCCCAAGTAGTTCTCTTTCCTCTTTAAAACTCTGACATGGAAGCATCTAGGATCTGCCCTGTATGACTAGGGGCATTGTAGGAGCAGGTGCTAGAGTTTCTAAGAAGGAAGTAAAATGTCGTTGTTACAAAAAAGTACTGAACAAAAATGATGTATTAGTGGCATAGTGGCTATGAAGATTGTTGAAATGTTTGGACAGAAAATAAATAAAGAGGAAAATGCTCAAAAATAGCCTATTTAAATAATCTTCAGCATTCATCTGAGTTGTTAAAATGATTCATTATATCATGAGAATAATTTTTATTTTTAAATTATGTGTTGGTATGTTTCATAATAAACAATAAAACTTCTATAATAGCATGTATAATGGCACAGGAGAGATCTATATCTATCTATAGCCATATCTATGTCTATCTATAAAATAAAATGCATAGGTACATATCTGTGTATATGTGTGTGTAAAATATACTATGATACACTCATGTATGTACACACACGTAGTTTTTCAATGATAGGGCTTATATGACAAAATAGTTGGAGTATTAGGCTCAACTCTTTCTATGGACACAAAAGACAGTATTAAAGTATTACTGATGACTGTTTAGAATACCAGTGACTATTTGTCAGAGAATAATCCTATGATGGCAGGAGGGTAACAGGCCCAAGTCATCACCCATTTGTTTGGCAAATAATCATTGTTTGCATGCTGAGTGCTCTTACATTTTTTGATCTTTCTCTTCTTCTTCCATCTTGCTTCTATTTCTCTTTTTTTAAAAATTGTCTTTACTTCTTAAAGAAGACTTCTCATTCTAAACTGTAGTTACTGTCTACCTGTCTACTTTTGAAATTTTTCACTATATCTTCTAGATAATTTAGCAGAAAAAAAAATAAAGATTTACACAGAATTTTAAAGAACTTATCTTTACTTTTTTATACCAAGTAGTATATTGAAGAGAATTTAGAGGAATGAACTTTTTAACTAGTTTTAGTTCTTGGAAATTCCACTGACAATATTAAAATCATTCCTGTTAATAGATTATTACAGTAAATGTTATTGCAAAAAAACGCCAAGAAACTGCCAACATGAAGAATAAAAAGGAATAAGTGGGTAAGCAAACACAAGAAAAATTAAAAGGGTGTGGAAGATGTGCTTGTGGCCACAAAATGAGAGGAATTCAAACATCCTCAGCATCCTCCATCCACCGGGCTTAGATAGGGCCACACATTCTTTAAAAATATTTATATTCTAAGAGTAGGAATGGTAGACTGACATCTGTTACATATTTCCTTAAACTTGTTGCATATCTCCTTTCAAAAGATGACGATGTTATATGTCTAGGGTTTGCACATTGGCATCCAAAACCAAGTTTTGAAGCTGTTTCTCCAAGCTAAAATAACTTTGCAAAAGAAATTAAAGGGGCAAATATACACATTGATAAATTTACTTATACAGGTAGGACTTGTAATTTTATTGAGTTAATCCTTTAAATATAAATACTTCAGTGTTTCTTTGGATTATCTTCACTAATATCAATGAGTAGCTTATTACCTATGTCAGTGTCTCAGTTACTTTTTTCTCGTTGCTGGGACAAAATACATGACGCCCAAAATTAAGGAAGGAAAGGTGTATTTTGCTTACAGTTCGTGGAGCTTTAAGTCCGTATTTGGCAGATTATAAGGCAGAGTGGCACATGGCAGAGAGCTACAGCTCATGTCCGCAGAACACAGCAAAAGCAGCAAGCACACACCAGCATACACCAGGGAGGAATGGGGGAGGAATGGCCTCAAGCACCCTTTTCCTCTCCCTTACATATGCAAACTATCCACCCCAGGGCAGGTGTAGCTCTCAAACCCATAATAATCAAACTCTAACAGCCTGCCCCATGACCACATGAGGCTTTGGAGGGACACACAGACATAAACCATAACAGTCAGTGACATGTAAATTCATCTTTTTCTATCTTTATGGAGGTTTTGTTGGTAAAAGTTATACATATTTATCATGTGCAATGTGATACACTGATAGATGTATATATTTTGAAATAATTGCACAATCAGGCTATTTAACATATCCATCACCTCATAGTATCTTTCCATTTTGTGTGGAGAAAACATTGAAGATCACTTTTAGCAGTTTTCAAGAATGCCATATGTTAACTACAACCTTCCTACTGTACAACCAATCTCTAGAATTTGCTCATCTTAACTGAAATTTGTACTGAAATTGCTTTGATCAGCACTCCCAAATGCATCATCTCTTTAGTTTAGTTTTTAAAATAATTTAATCTTGTATTTATACATAAAAAGTGGTTGTTTACTCTTCTTTCAACATTATCTGATTTTATAGAGGGCCTATTGTACTTGATCCCAAGTGAAGAAATTTATTTCAGCCTCCAAGTTTCCAGTGAAATATTTTTGTAAAGTAGTAGACTGGAAACTGCTCCTCTTATGTGTAAAGTATCACCAGTGGGAAATATAAAACTCAAATGCCAAGAAATCACATTAAATGCTTCTCTCTGACCAAAGGTTATGTCTCCCTGTTGGGTCTGATAAATAAAAATGGCAATTAATGTGAGAGAGACAGACTCCATAAACAATGGAGAGAGTACCAATGTTATTTCCCAGTTTCTTTGAAATGGAAGAATTTTATATTACCATTTCTAAAATATATGGGTCAATTACTCCATCAGGGCACTCTATGATCTTGAATTCATTCTGACCCTAGAAAGACAACCACAAATTCTTTAGAATAATGTCCTCTGAGAAAAATGGAAGAAATGAATCACCAACCTACAGAAACAAGGGGGAAAAAACAAGGTATTCTGTCATTTGAATCAATAGATTTGATGCTTGAAGAAAGAGGTGAAAATTATTCTCTGTAAAATAATGGCAACAGGAGTGATTATACACTCTCACTTCTGGAAAAAGGGAAAATGTAAAACTCCCTGCGATTTATATTCTTAGATTGGTACTATTTCTACACAGAGTACAAATAACATGAAGGGAAAAAACAGTGCCTAATACTATTTAATATCTATCAAATAATTCAGTTTAACTAGAAAACGGCAGAAATGGAACAGTGTATCAAAATCTAGAAGTAGCTGGAGGCTAATTATAATGTATTTCAGCTGCCCAATTTCAGGTACTACATCTGCCAACTTCCAGACTAAGCCTGAACAATTTTCATTTTTAATCCATAAATAGATTGTCATTTCAGCCTTCATTTTATAAGACAGAAAGTGAAACTTTATCTAGTGTGGAATACAAAAAAAAAAACATTGCTTCAGAGGGCCTGCACCAAAGCTTCTGTTCATACAACCTATGACCTAGTCTAGTGGAGTACAGAAATAAATGTGGTTTTTCTCAGCACAAGCTGGAAATATTCAGGAAATTCAAACTTCTTGCTATTTTTTGATTCTGCTTTCACTCTGAATTTTTTTCTAAAGGATTTAGGTCCCATGCATATGTAGTAATTGGCTTCATTTTACTATAGAAGTAAATATTAGTAATTCCTCAGTCAATAAATTTTGTGAATACTTGTCCTGATGTAAAGCAAGAAAGCTGTAGTTCAACCTAACAGTATGTGCTAACTGATCAATTTTGTTCCTAAGTGCCCCAAATGCCATCATAATTTAGTTACCTAGTACTGAAGCCAATATAGTAGGTGAGATGGCATATTCCACCATATTTAAAGATTTCAAAATTTACAGAGACTCCCAAGGCCTCTCATGCTAGAGACAGAAATAGCACATTAATTTTTAATGTGTGTTCAATACAAATATCCATGTTAACATTACCCACAGCTACCTAGATTGGAGCTTTATGAACTAATGGTTTTTGTATTTAATTCTACTGAGAAAAACTCCATGAAAATGTTCAAAAGAAAAGTATTAAGAAAGATAAAAAGTCTGAGCTGACTTTAATCCCACTGGTGTTCAAGCCATGGACTACAAAAGGTTTACTCAAGAGCTGCAAAACAATGCAACTCACTAGCAGATATGAGAATAATTTAGAATATCAGGTTTTTCATGTTTTCACGTTTACAAACAGAAAACCAGTGCATGTTGTTCTTTGAGGAATGAAATGCTGTGTTTAAAATGTGGACATTGTTAATCAAATTTTCAGAGGGCTTTGGAGGAGGGGAGAATTTAAAGACAAAAAAATCAGAAGATAACAATAAACTGCAATAGCTTTAGGAGGGCCTTGTTACAGTGACATTGAAAAAACGACTCCTGTAAGGAAAGCTGATCTGAATATTTACAACTGATTAGATGAGTGTTTGATGGGGAGATATACTAGAGAATGGAAATTTTCTTGATAATGATGAAATCACTGGCCAGGTAGGAAATCTTAAAGAAAATAAATAAAGCAATTTGCACTTGCTAAATTTCATTTTAATTGACAGAACATAAATCCCTTAATAATAATTTCAGATAAAGCTCACTTTCATAACTCTGCACATTTTTACCTGAGGTTGCTTTCTTGCTTCTCGTATTTTAAATTATGATTTAAATAATAAAGGAAAAAATCTTTGCTTAATTTCAATGCCATCTGGGAATTTTAAAAAAACAGTTCTCCGAAGGGGTCTTAAGTCAGTTCATTCGGCCTTCTAAAAATAATGAATTAAGGACACCCAGGCTTAGAGTAGATGGGGATGCTGTCTTCACCATTTCTCTAGAAAATGATATACCTCTCAGTGTTTTGTTGTTAGTTATTAGCAGGAACCAGATGGAAAATTATACTGTCTCCCCAGGACACTAATAGAAACAAGTTCTGAGATTTGTCTCTGAGTTTTTCCTGCTAAAATATATTCTAACACAACCTTCAGGGCTGAAATTATCCTGACATTTCAGTATAAAACATCCAATATGTACTGGTGGCCTTAATGTAATTAGGTAAAACTTACCTTAATTACTGTACTTAAGCTTTATATTCTTTGCAATATGCTACAAAACCTAACTTCCTGGAATGTCAAGGCCATCACATGCATTGAACTAAGATTGAAACTTAGCCCTCCAGTCTGCACTACAAAACTTCCCATTTTGACCTTTGCAATGTGTGAATGACTTCCACAAATAGGGGTGTGAAGGTTAAAAACAAATAACAGGCTTCACAGTGGTGATATTTTAGAATCGGTACACATTTTCCTTGTCTTTTTTAATCTCCCTAAAGAGAAAGTGCACCAGATTCTCAGAATTCAAGTGACAGTTGAGCATGCATAAGTAAGTTTGTAAGTTATCCTATCATTTTCCCTGAAACTAAACTTTACTATTACAAATTTTCTTTTTAAGTTTGAAATTAATAATTCATTTCACAGAAACAATTTTAACCACTTAATTTAAAAAAATAAATCCTCTAAGCAGCTACAGTTACCGTGAGGAAAATGTTTTGTACAGGAAGGAGTACAATATGCGTAGAGTCTCACATTTGATTGTCTGCTATAAAATAACTTCTCTGTGATAGATTTTGGCAAAGAAAACAGTACAAATGACCCCGAAGATTCTGCGGACACCATAAGACATTATCAGAGTTCCAAGAAACACTTTGAAGAGAAAAAAAGTAGATCATCTTCTTTCATCTCCTCCATCGATGATGAGCAAAAGCCGCTCTTCTCAGGAACAATAGATTCTACTCCAAGATTAGGGAAAGCAACCGGGCTTCATTTTGAAGAAACAATGCCCACCTCAGGAAGAATGCACACAGATAAAAGGAGTCACTCTTGCAGAGGTAATGGACACTCAGGTATCAAGCTGTTAATGTTAAAACTAACTTGGTGAATTTTTACAAGGTAAGAATCACACTGACACATATCAATCTGATCTTTTTTAATTCATGAAATGTTTGCAAACAGTTCAGAACTTAAATCTGAGTTGCTTTCATAATTCTGGAGTAAGCAGTAATTAGTCTCAAATACTATTAGCATGAGAGGTATTTGTGACCAACCAGATTTAACATAATGCCAGGCAGAAAAACAGTGGGAAACCTATTGAAATAAGTGATTTCGCCAGGCATGGTGACACACGCCTGTAATCCCAGCACTCAGGAGGCTGAGGCAGGAGGATCCTTGCAGGTTCAAGATCAGTCTGGGCTACAAAGTGAGCTCAAGGCCAGCCTGAATTGCATAGTGAGACCCTGTCTCAAAGAAAAAGAAGAAGAAGAAGAAAAATGACTCCAATGGATCAGTGAGTATTTTAAGAGAATTTACCAGTTGGTCCTTCATATGAATTTCTGTACCATTTCTTATCCCCAAGCTTGTAGTTTTATAGTATGAAGGATCAGTGCTATCACACTACAATACACACCAAAAAGAATTTTATTTTGATGCAAGTTTTTAAAAAGAGAAGAGAAATACCCCGAAATGAAGTATATTCATGACAAAGCTTTTAACATCCCTACTAAAAGAAATACCAGGGGGCTGGGGATTTAGCTCAGCGGCAAAAAGCGCTTGCCTGGCAAGTGCAAGGTCGTGAGTTCGGTTCCCGGTACCGGAGAAAAACCAAAAAAAAAAAAAAAGAAATACCAAGTTATGGGTTTTATTGTAGAAAATATACAATTGATGAGTAGTAATGCTTGATTAATATGTGTAGCTTTTATGCGAACAGATGCAAAACTCAAGAAAACTGTAAAAACTGTTACATGGAAAACACTAACAACATAATAGAAGATAGATCTAGCTGTTAAGTGGTACCCATAAAAGATATGGATTAGGTGGCTCTGTCACTTGCTCCTTTTATAACTTTGGATAAGTGACTTGACCCATCCTATTATGATTTTGCACATTTTAAAAATAGGAATAATTTTACATAATAAACTACTTGGTTATGATTATTAAATAAGTCATAAATTACTTTATTTGAAACAAAATCTCCAACTCTAGTATTTTCTCACAGATTTTTATTTTGTAAGCCTTTTATCATTTAATATGTTCCTATATGTTAAAAGAACTTTCAAGATTTAAAAGGCACAGCAAAATATCAAAAGAATATAATAAAAATGAAGGAAAAATAGAATTTTTTGGCCGGACAGAAAGCAAAATTATTGGACAATGTAAATAAACATCACCTATCATCACTAACAGTATTTCAAAAGATCGTATCTGAACCAAAAGGTTTTATTAAATCTAGGATGTTTAGGCTGTATATTTTTTCGAGAGTTACTTTCCTATCATGTCAAATCAGCCTTTCCCAGAACTGCACATGGAAGTAAGCTAAGAATATATGCAAATGTCCTCTGGACAATCTTAAAATCTTGATGAAGTGAATGAAAATAGTACTTCATTTATCACAGTGGAAGAATGGAATATTAGATGTGATTACCAAATGTCCCATTTTAGTTATTTATGAAAATGAATTCTAAGAAGTTCTAAAAATAGAAACTGGTTGTATCATGGAAGTCAAAAATTCCGATGAGCTTGAAGAACAATCTCTTCTATATCCAAAAGTAGCATAGGATGGGCTTCCTTTTTTTAAAAAAAAGTGCTCTTTCTTGTTTTCATTATGAATGTTAGACTGTCAAGTGACAAGTCATTAAAGATATAGTTTTGGGATTTTACTTGACTGTATAATGATTCTTGTTGGCAGTAAATTCTATTGCCTTTCATCTTATATTTTTCTTTGCTGCTTCTTCCAACTTTTAACTATTTCAGCTGCCCAATAAAAATAGCACTTTAACAAACAATTTTAATAACTTCAATATTTTCTTTCAAAAATGCATATTGTAATTCATAGTGAAGTAATAAATAGCTTGAAAATGCGCAGCTAAACATGCATGTAAATGAAAGAAACATAATCAGCACCATATAGTTTCAATGAGTGACACACAGCATGATTAGTTAATATTAGAACTACTGTAGAATTTTAAAATATGACTCACTGAAAATTTTATTCCTGATAGATTGTTAAGGTGAAAGGCTGTGTAATGGCCAGGAATTTCACTAATATGTAAGGTGAGCTTCTAACTGCTGAAGTTTGAACGGCTACGTCCTCAAACTTTAGCTTCCCCGTCAATGTGAAATTTATTCCTTCATATTCTTGGTATCTGTCACTCTGAATCCAACAAAAGAACACACTTTGGGAAACCTCTTTAGTTTTTGGGGGTTTTTTTGTTTTGTTTTGTTTTGTTTTGTTTTGTTTTTCTCTGGTACCGGGAACCGAACTCACGACCTTGTGCTTGCCAGGCAGGCGCTTTTGCCGCTGAGCTAAATCTCCAGCCCCGGGAAACCTCTTTAAACTTGACTCATTCTACTCATGTTAAGGTCAAAACTGACTGTAGGAAAACTGTGTACCCCGAGTAAAGCAAATGGATGCTTATACCACTTCATGGAGTCAAAGGTTGAGTTCAGGAAAACTGTGTAGCCAGAGCAAAGTGAAAGTTTACTTTCTGTTCTCACATTTTTACAACTATAGCCGTGCAACTATAGCAACATTTTCCAAGGCAACCAAGTACTGATTCTGTCTGAACTATATTTAGAAAGCAACTACAAGGATGTTCATTTGATTAAGACCACTAGCCAAGATTTCCCCTCTGACTCTTCATTTTTTTATAGCTGTTAAAACAAGCTAATCATGTATCTCTGGAGTTTAATAAATGTAAATGATAATAAAGGAAGCATCTGTCTTACAGTACATTATATTCATTTTTGCTAAAATAATAATTTTTTCTTGAGCACAAAAGAAGAGACAGTATTCTCCATAACTTATTGCATATGATTCACTGTTGTCATTTAAAAATCAATTTATTGTATGTGAGTTGAAAATGAAGGAGCTGTTAATCAGATGCAGAAGGTCTCTAAGCTTTCTTGATACAAAACTTATGAGTGCTGTATGTAACTTCAATCCTGTCACTTTTTATTGTTTTAAAGAAATGTTCATAGGTGAACTGGTTATCAGGGGGCTGGACAAGGTGAATGTTCACATCACACAACCATTTATGTGTTCCGAATGCTCATTTGGCATTGCTAACCCACAGATGAAAACCTAGTGTACTAAGATACTATATGATTGTTTTACATTTTAAATGTGTTTGAATATCTGTGAGTAATAAATCATACTTTCAGTGAAAATCTCTGATAAATTACTAAAACTCTACCATTTTTCTATGTCCATTTACATTTTTTCATGTTTGGTAAAATATCAAAATAAATTGTAAACTATCACTTAAAAAATACTAACCATTGGGATTCTGTAGGATAAAGAAGTCAATTGCAAGCCTTTCTGAAGTTCCTAGTAAGGTCTCTGGGGTCTATAAACCATCTTCAAAGAACCAGCAACTCCACCTATTCTTTTTCTCTTGCTATCTTTGGATATGCTTATTCCTTTTTATAGCTTTCTCTATTGATGCAGAAATCTTAGGCACTTTATTACAGAAATTTCTGCATAGTAAATGATTAAAAACAGTAAGAGAAAAACCATAAAATACAGAATTGTTCTTCTTAGAGAAAAAGTATGCATTTAACGTCCCTAACTGCACTTTTTGAGAAACTATAGGGAAGGAACTTGTACAGTTCTGTTCTCTATTTCTAGAATCATAGTTAATTCTGCCCAATTCAATTACTTATTACCCATTTTTTAAATAGCTAAGGATGTAAGTTCCATAACTTTATATAATAACTTTTCTCAATGCTAAATCATAGTTACTTGTCAAGATTTTTAAGCCTTTCTATTGAAATCACTTTCTGTAATTCAAATTTATTCCCACATCAAAGCTAAGACCCTCTTGAAGGGGTCCTTCCCTCTTACCAGCCCTACTGTGAAGATAAAAATAAATCTGATCCTCATCTCTACTCAAGTAGCATATTTTTATGGGTTTTATTTTTCAAAACTTTAATTATTTTGTGGAGTCTAAGAAAATATAGCAAAAGTATCAAAAGTATATGACAAAAATGAGGGAGAAAATAGGACATCCTTATTCCCAAATAATGAAACTTGGAAATGTAGATTCTAAGAGAAATAATAAAAGGCTTAGAAAATGAATCTGTTCATAAGAAATGATCACAAATTGTCAGAGTGAATTGTCTAGGCCTGGGGGCTTTGTCTACTTTGTCTTTAATTCCTCCACATTTAGCAGAGTTTGTGGCACATAATAAACACTCCAGAACACTGGAAAAGTAGGTTGAATGAATAATTTGTTTTAAAACAAATGTAAAGAGCCACAAGGAAAAAAAAAGTTAGAAAGTAGTGTTATTATGAAACACATTGCAGCAGGAGCTACACGGAAGCCTAAAAATATAGACCAGCAGCTTGAGATATGAAGACTTGTAGGAATTCCCATCTTTAATGGTTTATGGCTTCTTGGCTCTGGCTTGAGTCAGATTGGTCTAAGAGAATCACCTTAAAATTCAGCATTTGCTACAAAACATTGTCCTTGAGACCACTGCAAGATACAAAAAAATGTAAATTATCCTATGAAAAGGAACCCCCAAAATGTTATATCCTAAGTAAAGCAATATGAATAAAATGTGTTTCTTCCCAAATTTAGAAGCTCAGAATCATTGCTTTCTAATCAGTTTGGGTTCAGCCATCCATATCTTCTCTTAGCAGGAAACAGAAAGACAGTAAAATCATAACCAAGATTCTTGGTCTGCTGGAGTGTTTAATGCTAAAAAAGTGGATGCGGGAAAGAAGGCAGGCAGCATGACAGTGGTACCCTGCCACAAACTCTGCCACAGGTCGTGGCCTTAGTCATGTCTGTAAACCCCTCTCGTTCTCTCTCTCTGATTATACCCGGAGAGACATTTCCAGCTTGTCTTGGAGGTACATATGTTACTGAGGCAAAGGAGCACCTGAGGAAGCTGACTTCCACTTGGTTTTTCACACAGATATCACTGATATGCAGAGTTGGGAAGGAGAGCACACCAGGGCTCAGCCTGAAGAGTGCAGTCCCCCAGCGCTTCAGCGAGCCACCTGGGGGACCTCTGAGACCGAGAGCGACTTCACCTATGGAGAGGTGGAGCAAAGATTGGATTTGCTTCAAGAGCAGCTTAACAGGTATGAGCAGTAGAGGGCCAAAGGAGAACCTCATTGCTCCTTTAGATGTATCTAGCTTTGCTCTTTGTAAGCAGCAAATTCTTTTTGCCACGATCCCCTAGGATTTTATGCACACTTATTTGAAATAAGATTGGAAATATTATTTTATGTTGCAAGGAGCATTTGCTTAGAATAGTTCATACTTTTATCAGTATATAACCTAGTGTTTTTTTTTTTTAATCATCCCATTAGTGTATCATTGGTACTGACTGCTTGAGAAAACTACTTTCATTCTACCCTCAAAATAATTCATATTTAACTTGTTAATAACATCTTCTTTAAGCTTCCTTTTACATTTTTCAGTTGTTCTCGGTAATCTAATTATGTATTACGGTATCTAAAAGTACCAAAAGAGTGATTTATTTATTTATTTATTTTTGGTACCAGGAATCAAACTCAGGACCTTGCACCTGCCAGACAGGCACTTGTGCCACTGAGCTATATTCCCGGCCCACCAAAAGAGTGATTTAAACAGCTAGTTATTTAGTCAAATTGTCCAAAATGTGAATGAATTAAAAATTCTGCAAGTTAAACACCACAATATCTCCATTTTCCTTTCAACTTTGATTTAGACCAACTTTGATTTAGACCACTATGTGCAATAAATTTTGATTTTAGAGAGTAGGTAATGACTTCACCCAAGTCTGTGTGGTTTTGTTAAAATTAAATGAGTTAAAAACATTCAGAGGACCTCTAATCTCAGCACTCAGGAGGCTGAGGCAGGAGGATCATTGCAAGTTCAAGACCAGTTTGCCCTACAAAGTGAGTGCAAGGCCAGCCTAAACTGCATAGCAGGAGCCTGTCTCAAAAAGACAAAAAAAAAAAACCCTCAGGGGACAAATATGACTATGTTATAGATGTGTTTGATTGTGTTTCATTTGAGGAGTTGCCTTGATCAAATTGTAGTTTTCAAGTTTTCAAGCACATCGCAGGGAAGGTAGCTCTGTGGTCACAGACAGACAATCTATGGATTGAATTAAAATGCTCAAATCATAGGACTTATTAAATCAATTTCAAGCACACAATAAGAGATAAGGAGAACCAGATGGAGTAATTACTACATTTCAAATAAGTGAAAGTATGGTGAAAGAGCCACACTACTTGAATCCAAATTTACACAATGTCACGCATCTGCTTTATCAGCCTTCCTTGCCTGGGGTGTTATAAGTACCAGACATGAAGTTTCCCCAGAGTGCATAGACAAAAACCAAATCTGTGCCAACATCATACACTGGCACCATCACAGAACTATGGCCTGGTCCACCTGGACACAGCATGACTTTTAAATTAGCCTGTTCAACATCTATGTGTTTTACTGACATTTCTTGGTAGACTGCATGGAGATCCAGAATGGATCTGGATACTATGGTAGTCAGATTGGGGGATGGCAGTTGTCTTTGAAGAAGTGACATAATAATAATTTGTTCTTTCCATCTCTTTCTATTATAAGCACTACTCTTATTTGTTATATTACATTTCCATCCTGTCTTTGGTGTGTCTTTCTGGTCACTAGCATATATATGTGTCTGTCTTTAATATATCCTATTAATACTTCCCATGTCTGTAAGTTACTCCTTATCTCTTAGATATTTTTCAAATAGAATATGTAAGAAAGAGATTCTAATTTTCAGAAACTGCACTGCTTAACAATGGTTCAATAAGACTCAAAATCATCATCATAATTTTTAACTGTCTACTGGACTTTGAATTTTACTTGTTGATACAGTTTTTCTTCTAGTACCTATCCCTACTTCTTTTTATATTTAAAGATCTGTCTCCATAATAAGGGTAATAGTAATAAACATCACATAGTATCTACCCTGTAAGCTATCCACTATTAAATGCTATTAATAATGAGATAAATTTATATGAAAATATTTAGAATGAAGTTTCAGTGTAGAATTTTCTTTGGAAGCTCAGTGAAAAAATATAGCAATTGTGTTTGAATTAAACAAGGGAAGATTTTTGGGTGCAAATAAATTTGAGTTGGGTCTTGAAATATAGAAAGAAAAATTGAAGAGTCTGTATTTGCTTTAGTTGTTGCCATAAAATACTGGATCTTAAGTAAAAAGTAGGTAAACAAATCAGTTAATAACTACATTTTTACCCTTTCAGTGTATGGTGATGGTAAATGCAGTCTATTTCAGGTGTAACTTATAGTTATTGATTTACAAGACACTGAAATATCTAGTTATGATTACCAGTTATAGAAAACCTTTAAGGATATGTTACTATGATGTTTATTTATTTTTGTTGTTGTTGTTTTTCTTCCAGTACCAGTAATCGAACTCACGGCCTTGAGCTTGCCAGGCAGGCACTTTGCTGCTGAGCGAAATCCCCAGCACCTACTCTGATGTTTAGAAGGAAGATTTGGAGGGTTCATAGTTAGAAGAAATAGGAAAATTATCTTTTCTCACATTTTCCATGTTTCCTTGGTTATCTTTCAAGTCATTTTAAATTCCACAGATGAATAATGTGTTTAATTGAGCAAAATTATTTCTAAGATTTACTTGTTCTTTCCATAGTTTCATTTAGACGCAAAACAGTACCAACAAATAATGATTTAGAATTTTCCAAAGAGGGACATGGTACAAATTTTCTCTGCTTATGCCTACAAAATTCTCTTTGTCTTTAATGTTAACAAATGCAGCAAAGGGAAATCAGACTAAATATGTTTTGCCATCTTTTCTTGAATTGTAATTTTGAGTGATAATCATATAGTGATCCAGATGGATATTTGTGAACTTTGGAGGAAATAATGGTCATGCTAGTCTTTTACAAGTCACATAGATCACAGAAGCAAATGAACTTTGAAGGTAATTTTGCTCCTTAAATACTGAAGCTTTGAGCTGCAAATGGAAAATTAATTTAGCATTTAACAGCATTTAACATTAAAGAAAAACTACAATGACTAATACACAACACTTGCTTTGAATAGGAGATAAGGTAAAATAATGTAAATATAAATTTGAAATACATAAGAAATTGTCCTGATATTCTGTAAGAATTGTGCTACTATTCTCTCCTTTAAAGAACAAATGTTCAAAGCAAACTGCAAAGTCTAATAAATAGTAAAAAAGCAGTTACTGATTAAAAGTAAATTAACAAAAAAATTTAAAAAATAAATGACCATGTTTTACACTTCAAACTCAATAAAGATTAGTAAAGTTACAGTCAATTCCCTTCATCTATTGTTCTGTTAATTCTCAATAAATGAGCAGGAGAGTAATGGTCTTTATCACATCACTGCTGAGACAGAGAGAATGAGTATCAGCCAGGAAAGAATCTCTGTGCTCCCTCTCCTGTCCTTCTTGTTTAAAGCAGGGCCGTAATTCTGTTCGTTGGTAAGGCTGAAATTTATTAAAATGCTTTTGCATTTTAGAACTATTGGACTTTGAGCTGCAAATGGGAAAATAATTTAGCATTTAACAGCATTAAACATTAAAGAAAAACTACAATGACTAATACACAACACTTGCTTTGAATAAGAGATAAAGTAAAATAATGTAAATATAAATTTGAAATACATAAGAAATTGTCCTGATATTCTGTAAGACTAGCGTGACCATTATTTCTTCCAAAGTTCACAAATATCCGTCTGGATCACTATACGATTATCATTTGAAATGGACTATTTTAGAATCCTCTTTCCTTTTTCTGTCTGTCTTGCAGACTCGAATCCCAAATGACAGCAGACATCCAGACCATCCTTCAGCTGCTGCAGAAACAAAGCACTGTGGTCCCCCCAGCCTACAGCATGGTAACTGCAGGAGCGGAGTATCAGAGACCCGTCCTCCGTCTGATGAGAACCAGTCATCCCACAGCATCCATTAAGACAGACCGGAGTTTCAGCCCCTCCTCACAAGTGAGTGCAGATCGTGCACAGCCCGGAGTGTATCTCAGAGTCTGTGTCCAGAGACCACGTAAGAATCTTCTGGAACGCTGTGGAAAATATAGGCTTCTATCTCCACTTCTAGTTTTACTCAGCTAAAATTTTTGATAATGAGCCCTTTAATCTGCATTATGTTCCTTGAAAGTTTGAGAATAATGGACCTACATGAATAATTTTAAACACTAGCAAGCATTTTTTTAAGAAAAATATTTATTTCAAGAATCATCCTGGGTAAATTAACGTTTCATTTTATTTTATTATTTTTTTTATTTTTTGGTTTTTCTCCGGTACCGGGAACTGAACTCACTACCTTGCACTTGCCAGGCAGGCGCTTTTGCCGCTGAGCTAAATCCCCAGCCCCAAATTAACGTTTTAGAGATTTGAAAGTTCATGAACAGTCTTAGATCCAAAAAGTGCATGAAAGAAAAATCTACAATTTGATCCAATGAAGAGAGACAAGGTGAGCAGGTTTCAGGAAGGAAAGAGAAGTAGCAGTGGGCTAGATTATACCCGCGGTTCAAATGCAATCGGGTTAGTAATTCCTCTGTGCTCCACTCATTACCAGAGATTTCTAATTTTGTTTTCAACCCAAATGATAGGCGTGGTAGAAGGAGCAATGCAAAGTGTCCTTTATCTTGCTTTGACAAGAAAATACCTCTTTAAATTATGTCAATACAAAAGGTCTGCCTTGGAACTCTATTTTGGAAATTAGTTTTGATTAACTAAATAGCATAAGCAAATGCAACCTAAGAATGATGATGTCACTGAGGATTTAGTAGCCAGGCATGGTGACACATGCCTGTTACCCCAGCACTCAGGATGCTGAGGCAGGAGGGTCACCAAGAGGTTAAAACATGTAAAACCAAGCACATTGTTGTTTGTTTTCAATGGACTTTAATGTGTTATCTGATGAAATTGGAAATTTTACCTCTTTCTTTTTTGTCATCTTTCTCATGTTCAACTAGTCATCACGTGACATTTCCTGCCCCAGCTTTTGTCATGAACGTTGAAATAAAATTCATTTGGAAAACTCAAAGTAAAACAATATTTTTCAAAACCTGATCTTAATCTGACTTTAAACTTAAAATTCTTGAAATTGTTCTAGGATTGTCTAACCTGATGACTGAGCCTCCAATGTTTCAATCTTTTTAGGAAAATGTTGGTTAACAACACTAATCAAATCAGGTTAATTGAGATAGAAAATAAATTTGGATTTTATGAATGTGATTTTAGATGACTGTTGGTATGAATTACAAAAAGTGTTTTCTTTTTTTCTTTCTGTCAGTGTCCTGAATTTCTAGACCTTGAAAAATCTAAACTTAAATCCAAAGAATCCCTCTCAAGTGGGGTGCATCTGAACACAGCTTCAGAAGACAACTTGACTTCACTTTTAAAACAAGACAGTGATGTCTCTTTAGAGCTTCACCTGCGACAAAGAAAAACTTACTTTCATCCAATTAGGCATCCTTCCTTGCCAGATTCTTCCCTAAGCACCGTAGGAATCTTGAGTCTTCATAGGCATGTTTCTGATCCTGGTCTTCCAGGGAAATAATTATTTTGTACTATTTATTCCACATACAATGTAAGTGCTTTTAATGGCTGTTTTCCTTTTTGTATTTAAATTCTCTCTACTCGACTCAGGGGCTCACAAGTTACCATTATATGCAAAAGTACTGTATATTTTCCTAAATTGAAGCTTGTAAGGTAAAACTGAGCAGTTAGGATGTAAATATACATAGGAATTTTTGGTTCCAAATGTTAAAACTGCCAGCATCTCTAGGCACCTTATTTTTTGTTTTTTATTTTCTAATCATATGCATGTCAGGAAGCTCCAATTTCTCTTGCATGGAGAGTCCTATTCATTGCTTTTATTGAACAGGTACATTGCTATGAAGATGCCTTCCAAGCAAATAGGAACCAAGGGATAAAACTATTCATAGATGCAACTCAAATGATCCTCAGTTTGTGGAAGTCCAACAGGGATGAAGGGAACTTACTCGTGAGAACAGATACTCTTCTGTGTTGAAATCTTTATAGTCAGTTACATTCATTTCCCCACACTGAGAAAAATGCAGAGTCTCAGATTTATCTCAGACAGTAAAGGAAACCATCTCCAAACATACTGAAGGGAAATACAAGTTGCCTTTAGTCCTTAAAATCTGTACAAGGAAAATCTCTTCATGACAAGACCAAGTGAAATACAATCTGTTGGTTAATGAGGGCAGTGCACCTCACAGGAGAGAAACCTCAGTTCCGAAGTAACCCAAGGCGGTGGCTTGGTATCTCAGCTTATGTAAGACTTTCAACAAAGAGCAATACATTTTAGAAAAGTGACAGGACAAAGAACAAAGCAGTCCAGGCTTCCAAATGTGGGAAAACTGTGGGAAGGCATAAGGTCTGCTCCCAGATTTCTCTAGGCCTGCAGTGTCTCATCTGAAAAGCAATCTGTTCCTAAGGAGAATTTACATCCTGTCTTTAGGCAGGAAAGTGGGAGGAATATAGAAAGACCTATTGTCTTTGTGAATCTTTGTCCTGCTTTTAGGCAAACAGACTGAGAAGGCTGGAAGCTTCACTGCAATTTTATTGTTCTCAGCTAAACAATCCTTCACGTATTGGGGAGAGATCCTTTGGTTTCCTTCAACATGAATACAGACCACCATTAACAAAAGTAAAAAATGTCATTTAAATCTTGTCTCTAATTGTGCTCACAGCCCATCTAAAAATTTTTAGACAGGCACATTTCCTCAAAGGCTAAAACACAATATTCTCTAATTTTGTTTTTTTGTGTGTGAGGGGAGCGCTCTTAAACAATTACTAAAATGTAACATGCACATACTGATATCCATAGCTTCCTTTCTCTCCATATTTTAGAGCAAACTTGAATTTGATTAAAATAGAGACAAATAAAGTTTTCAATGAATGTGTAATTTCAGTGGATTTGCATGGCAAACCATCTTTCATTAAGTATATGCTGTACTCCAGCTGTCTAATTCCAGGTGTGGGAAGGCAATATGTATTTACCAGCCCAGACAGAAAACGAACACACCAGGAGTAAAATTGCAACTTTGTTTGGTTATCCAGATACTTTTACTGATTGAAAATCAAATCAAATTCTATTATATATGGACAAGACTGGATATATATTGGCTCTAGAATATTAGAATACATTTAAATATCTTCAACTATTTGGTTTGGGGGGAAAAATAAGTGTACAGAAAGACATGAAAGGTTAACAATTCTGATGTCATGTTCTACTTAAGAAATTTTATTTTCAAGTCTAATTTTTAAATTATTACAGATTTATTATATCATTTCTGAACAAAATTTTTGAATGTCATTGTCATTGAAAGTTTCTTGATTCTTTACTAATTCTCTCATCTATAGCTTTAATGAAATATTATACCTCCACATTATCATATAGGTTAATTTCCATCTCTACATGATAAAAATACAATCTATTGATTTAACGCTATCAATGACAGTAATGTGTTAATCACCATCAAATACAAGCAATTTATTTAAATTTATAAAAAACAAAAACAATTGCACTATTTAAAATGTAATTAAAGTGACCTTAAATTGCTCTTAGTGTATTTTTAAATAGTCAAAGAAATTGTTAACCTACATAGGAGGTTAGGGGCTGAGGATATAGTTCAGTGGCACAAGCACCTGCCTGGCAAGCACAAGGCCCTGAGTTCGATTTCTGGTACAATAAAACCTACATAGGAGGTAATCAGTAGGCATGAGCATGTTCTCATCTCTAATTTTTCTTAAAAAGTCATCAAATATGGAGAATAAAATGGTCAGTTCAGTGAAGCTATAATAATTAAAACTGACTTCCCTAACCATTTGGCATTATGCATATATCCACTGAAGAAGTAACAACCACTTGCAGTCCTTCGTTCAACCACAGATGTTAGAAGTGCAGAGAGTCACATAAATGGCTAACTTTAAATCTGAGGTCCATTGAAGAATTTTATTTCCATATCAGAGCACATTTTTGCAGCTGCAACAAATTTCATAAGGATTGTCTGCCCGAGCTCCACGCACATTCAGAATGAATTCACCAGAGACTGTCCATTTGTAAGGAGAGAGAATTTGGCAGGTGAGGAATTAAGATCTGATTGTTTGATTAATGAATGCTTCAGCTGCAACATTTGGTATGACATGCATAAAATTCAGCCTTCTACATAAAGCCATTCTTTCTAAAAACAGCATGCAGAAAGGGAAAGATGTGGAACAGTATATAAGCATCCAACTCAGTTAAATTCTAGCAGAGCACAAACCTTTTGTTATTGTTGTTCCTTGACATAAAATGATTGCTTGATATTAAAATCTTAAGTCTCAGATTAGGAAGGTCCTTTCCTGCTGAATATGAGCTTTAAAAGATCCTGAGCAAGATAGATACGGTTAATCTGGCATAAACGTCAGAAGATTCAATAATTACACTGATTTGTAGATGACCAAAGCAATTATCTTGTTGCATAAAATACATCCCCTTGCCCAGCCAAAACTCTAATGACTAAAACCACCATCACCCTTTCCAGCAGGTAAAGAAAGCAGTCAGACACCTCCATCTTGGGACCCTGCTGAAGGCCAGATCTCACTGTTGCAGCCACTCAAAGTAAGAGCATAGCAACTACTTTCCTTCAAGGTCATCATCAGCACTAGTGTAACCCCTTTGCTTTCCACCTAAAAATAGTGTTGTCTGGTCCCCTGCCCTAAATCAAATGCCATCTAAAACTTAAAATTTGTGCAGTTTGGAGGCTTTCCTGCTGCTATTAATTGCCAAACAGAGAGCTGAGATTTAGACTGATTATGGTACCCAGGGGTGGTCCTATACTTTAGTTGATAAGAAAATGAAGAATGAGAAAACGCTGAAGGAGTGTTTCACAGGGGTTTTCATTTAATAATCACTAATTCAACAAATGTAGGAGAGGAGGAGGTGGCAGACTTGACTCTGCATAATGTGTTAAGTCCATTTTAATGTGTTGGTCTTTAGAGCTAAACTTTCCTACTCTTACTGTCAGGACATATGGAAACTAAGTCAGGTTGTAGTATAATTAGGAGTCAGAGTTTTTATTTAATTTGATTTGATTTACTTATTATTTTCTGTAGTTTTGCTTTAGGCATGGGCTCTATACCTGCACTACATGCCTAGGAAGAATCAGGCTTCGTACGTGTGTGTATCAGATTTGCTTACAAGGTTCTCATGAAGGTTGATCTTCAGCAATTGTTTCAAAACTCCTAGAAGAAAAGCGTTCTTGCACAAATGTCATTTTAAAAACCCCATCGAACAGTACTAGCTCAAGGTAAAATGCATCTCATTAGCATATTTGAAATAATAAATATTACTAACAATAGTATCCTTCCTCTGAAAGTTTTTTTGTGGTTTAAGAAAGGGAACTGAGTGAATTGGTTAGTTATTAGAAATGAATTATCACACTAATTTATAATTTAATATAATAGTCTTTAATTTGCTTATCCATGAAGAATTCCAAAAGTAGATCAATTTTTAGATTTCTTACAAATCAAAAATTGTATAAATTATAAGTAAATTGAAGTGTTTCTAATCACTTTTTATAATAAAACAGCTTTGTCTATCGTGTGAGCTCTACCCAGCACTTGAAAGATAGTTTAAGGTAGAACAATCAACCTCAAAGTGTGGTTCTTAAAAGTAACAGTGCTATCACCACTTACGAATTTTTCTAAACACATATTCTTAGCCAACACCCTGGATATACTGTATTAGAAGCTTTGGGGTTGGGACCCAGCAAACATCTTTTAACAAGCTCTCTCCCACGTGATCCTTCTATACAAGAAAAACTTGATGTCAGAAGGTGGAAGAGCAAAGGCGCTCTGCAGTCAGATCAACTTCATCCCCACAAGACCTCTTTCATTAATCTGCTGTGTGACCCTGAATGAAGTAACCTCCCATAATCTGTTTTCCTGGATCTATAAAGATGAGATAGTAGTATCCACCTCACAAAAGATTTAAGAAACGAGATAAAATATAGTGAAGTTCCTAGCACACAGTAGGTGCTCACAAAAGTCAGATTGTTTCTCACTCTGGAAGGTGTCATTGAAACAATCGCAAAATGTATTTCCACAGTTTAGCTTCTGCACAATGTGCTGTCTTCAGTTGAGTAACTGTTATCAAGACTAAAGTTTTGAATCAGAAAACATAAGTGTAGGTATTCTCATCTGTATTTATGGTAATTTGCATAGTAGTCCCCGACTTACGAACATTTGAGTAACAAACTTTCACAAATACAAGTGGACCTTGAATTCATTCATAGATGTGAACAAATTGTGGAAATAGCTTCCATGTCTGCGGACATTGTCAAAGTTGCACTGCTGTGTGCTTACTGTATAGTGTGATAGTGTATAGTAGTATAGTGCAGTCAGATTTACTGTATTTTTGTGGGTTTTTTATGCTTTACATTGAGTATTTGTGTCAAAATCTGACTTACAAATGGAACTCATTGGTAAGTCAGGGATTTAGCTGTTATGTATTAGGTTTATGGCTTTAAAGTGGTACGACGTAGAATAATAATAATGAAAGTAGAGATCTCATTGTTAAAATGAAATCTCCTCTGAGCTGACGTTAAATGCTGTGTATACAAAGGTGACACTCCATCCCAGTACTATCAGAATGTATTTTATAAACGCTGACACACTGCAGAAGTTCCTCTTTACTCGTGGTATAGTTCCCGGAGGGACATTTGAAGATCTATTTACAAAGTACAACTTTGAAAGTAAATGAACTATTTTCACTCAAAGAATAGAATTTTACAGTTGTAACTGGCTCTTTCCAGGCACCTATTCCCACCCTGTCGTGGCACAGATATAATTTACAGACCTTCAGCTGCCAAAGCTTTCATGTAGAGTAGTGGAAAGACAAATGAGGCAAGGTGGTCAGCCTGAGTGAAAATACTACCTTCTCCACTTACTCTTGAGACAAATCATCAGTGAACCTCGGTGCCCAAAACAGTAAAAATGGAGGTTTCATCTGACAGATCTTGAAGGAAAGTGTTGAGGGTCCTTCAAATATAATAGGGAAGTGCTTTGTGAACTCTGGAGTACAGTAAAACTCACATAAGGTTTGGTAGGCCAGTAGCACCACTCAAGATCTAAGAAACTCCCTCTCCCCCGAAAAAAAGAAAATAGAAAAATTAAATTAAATTAAAAAATAAAAAATAAAAAATAATACAGGCCAGGGATATAGCTCAGTGGCTTAAGCACTGGTCTGGCAAGACTGAGGTCATGAGCTCGATTCCCAGTACCAAAAAATAAAATAAATAAAATAAAATAAAATAAAAGATCTAAGAAACTCCCATCGCTCATTCTCCTATTCAATGCTCCATTTCTTATACTCTGGAATGAAAATCTATGACATGATTCACACACACTTTCCAAAGATCTAGTTACTCAGAATAGTTACTCAGAATAAGAGAATGTCAGCGTTAAGGAACCTTTCTCTGCTTTTCCATACTGATCTTTGTCAAATATTGCCTTTGCCCAGCATTCACAAAATTACACATTCTCAATGCAATTGTTTTCTAGGTATGCAATAGTTTCTTCCTCTCTTCTCTATAAGTCTTCTCATACAAAGCTATTTCCTTGTCATCCTACTTATAATGAAGTGATATTAACATTTAAAGACTAAAAGGTTCATATTTTAAATGCTTTATAAAGTATTAGATATTATGATTGATCAGTGGCCAAGATTAGAATAATTTATTTCATTCTTTTGTGATACAAATACACTTTGTTTTAATGTCCAATACAGAGAAGAAAATTCACAGAGGACATGAATAAATAATTGATAGTATGAGAAGAAATTATTATGAGACATTCATATAGAATATTAAGTGGAGGGTCAGATAACCAGAAGTTACTTAAAGCTAATAGGTTATTACTATGAACATAAGAATTAAACATCAATAGACATGCAATATATATGGAATCATAATCAATGGACCAATTTTATTGCTGTATCAATCATAATCAAGCTTCTAAATAATATTATCAAAATGTTTCATAAAAGTTTTATTATGAAAAGTGGCAATATTAATATTGCTGGTCTTGAAAAGCTAGTGTCCAAAATGAGATGAATTTCTAAATTGTACTCGTGTTATCTGTGGCTTCCATTTATATTTTGAAAAATGTTAAATGATTTTAAAGTCCTATGTTGACCTACATTCTTTGTATATCCTTTGTGTGTATTTTGATTTTTTTTAATTGAAAATAGTCACAACTGTGAGCATTTCAACTGTACTTTTTCCGTACTGTGAGCAAGAAAAGTCCACACCGTTTACATCATCCCTATTTAGAAGTAAAATTCAAGAATCAGTAACCTTATAACTAACTCCCCGACAGCCTCCTCAAGTGCTCACATAATTGTAACAGCTCTGAGATGATATGGCACCATTCTTCCAAATGTTAAAGAAATGAGGTAAAAATATCGAGAAATCCTGTATTGCCTAGGCATCTATTGATTTTAATTAAAGACATGTTACCTCTTTTTAGTTGAAATTTTCACTTTATAATTTTGATGAGAAAATGTACTATATCAGAATGTTTGCCAGTTAAAGACTAATGTATTTCCAAAAGGAATGTGTGTGCTTGCTTGAAAATGTCAGTCCTCTGATATAAAGAAGCTCACTCACATCTGGTGAAGTAGTATTTTGGAATGCTTTAAACTAAATGAAATGATCTACCAAAACACACACTACTTTGTACTCTTTATGCACATAATGTAGCATGAAATCATGATGCTTTTAAAATATTCTGTGCAGAAATATTTATTTTTTAGCAAATATTTTCTTCAAAGATTGTTATGTGGTATTGACAGTGTAATCTACTTGCACAACTAGTTTTGCAATAACATACAGATAACTGTAAATAAGTGAAATGTAAATTTCATGTACAAATGGTTGCAAATTTTTGGTAGCTAACAGTGTACAAGTTGTATTAAAATATAGTATATATACATAATTTAAGAACGAATCATATACTTTATGGTCTATTTATACATGAAAAATTTAAGAATTTGTAAAAGAAATTATTTTGGGGAAAAGGAAAGTAAATCTCATTAGTTAGCTAGGCTACTTTTACTAGAGAAGCCAACTATTTCCAACATTTTACTAGGCACAGTACTAGATATAGGCATGGTGGTGCTGATGTATTTTACAAAATCATGTAATTGTAATAGTGCACAAGCGCCTGCCCAGCAAGCACAAGGTCCTGAGTTCGATTTTCGGTACCAAAAAAAAAAAAAAAAAAATTAACAGTGCTGCATTTTACTGAGTTCCATTATGCCACTAGGAAGCCTGATTTGTGGTAAGAAGCATGATCTCTGACATGAGAGAAATATAAAAGTACTTCAGTTACTGCCCCTCAAGACCGCAGTAGTAATTGACTAAAACATTTATTATTGTTTACTTAATTTTTTTGATGTCTAAACAGGCCTTATCTTATGTGTAAAATAAATATTTCATAGTGAAGATGAATGTATACAAATAATATTTTTTTAAGTGTCATATGTTCTTAATTTCTCCACTATTTGCTTCTCTATTATTTAAGAAAAAAAATCAAAAGGTCTTCAAAAAAACCCCTTTTAAGTAAAATTTGCTGGTCTTTATGAGGTATATATTAAGCTAAGGATGGTTTAATTTGTTTGCTGATTTAAAATTTTTATTTTTAATATTTAAAAAGCCACAACAGAACATTTCCCTGTATGATAAATGAATAGAGACACCAAATACAGAAAACAGAAAATATTCCAACCATTTTTATAAATGAGCTTGATGAAGAAATGAGAATCTAAGTATAAAAATGCAAATACTTTAAAATTATACATCAAATAAACAAATTTCTTGGAATGAAAAAAATTTGAGAGTCCTGCATTTAGATAGCTGGGGAAAATTAAACATGCACTTAAAAGTTTAGTAAATCCTAAGAGCATTTTCAAGTGACCTACAATTTTGACAAGAACATGGTTCTTTAGTTGTATGTTTCCAAAACACTCACACTAGCACTGTTCAGAATACCCTTTGAAACTTCAGTAATCATAGCAAAACAAAATATGATTAGATAATCGCCAACTAGAATGCAAAGGATTGTGTGTATGTACCTGTACATATTTATATTTTTATTCTGAAGGGAAACCCAATAGTATATCAGAATCAGAAACTAAACACTCATGGCATACATATTTCAGAGAAGTAGTTACTAAATGATGACCTAGCCCAGTTCTTCTTCATACCCATAGTCTTTCCAAATTATCACCATCTCTTGATGTTACAGAAAGGGCACACCTGTAAACATACCTAGCACAGAAGAAAATCCTATTCATTTTCTAACTGTATGGTCATTCACAGTGATTGCCTATGTCTACTTATCATATACTCAGAGGCATAGAGGTCAATCTGAATTCTAAATGCTCGCAAAATAAAAATAAAAACACAAAACAGCATATTACCAAGCTACTTGGAAAAAAGGAATATCAAATATATAAGACCCTTTCTTTACATGACAGAAAAATAATGATTAAAAACAAGTAGAAAGAGATATGGCAGGAAACAAAAGTACAGATTTTCTAGCATTTAGATAATGAACTGATAGTGAGACAGAAATTTTTCCTAATTTTCTCAGTGTTCTGCTGGAAAGTAGTTTTATGCTAAGTAAGCTAAAATACAATAAATTTTAAATTTTATATTTGCATATAATGTTTTAATGTCACTCTACCATAAAGCATCTAAAAAGGATTCATTTAAAACCTTGTCTACATTCATCAATAACAACAAGAGTTCTAGACATTTTTATTTGTATCATCTAATATTACATGACACCTGGGCAGAATGCATTGATTTGAAGGTGATTAATTCACTATTCAGTGATTAAATTGAGACAAAAATGAGATTTTTAAATGAAAGATTCAGGGGCTGGGGATTTAGCTCAACGGCACAGAGCCTTCCTGGTAAGCATGGGGTCGTGAGTTTGATTACTAGTACCGGAAAAAAATCCAAAAATAAATAAATAAATAAATAAATAAATAAATAAAAGATTCAGAGTAATAAAATATCCATGGTTGTATTTTAAAGATTAAGGGAAAGAATATGAAAAAAAGTCTTGGATTTTACTCGAGACTTAACTTACCAGATTTTATAACTTCATCCCTACCAATTTCCCCAGAAAAGATATAACAAAATAAGACAAAAAATCATTTATGAATTTTTCAAACATGAAAGGACAAAGAACAGCACATTTTAAAGAGTATTTATTTGAATGTGCAGTTTAGTAAAGTCATAAGATTACAAGTGAACTTGATTTGTGTATTTTAATTAAAGAAATAATCTCAAATTGAATTTTTGTTATTTTTGAATTGCACAGAGTTTAAAATAGAATAAATTCTACTTTCTTCCAGGGTAAATGTTTTCTTTTCTGGAAATAAATATGTAAATTCACTACATTCTTTGTTACTTTTTCTTTTCCTGGATGAATGTTTAAGCGGATCAAGTAAGCACAGTCCTTGAAATTACATTTAAAGTGGACCAAATTAATATTCTCATAATAATGACTTCCCCGTGATGCAATTTAAAGTATGTAAGCCACCACTCAAACTAGAAGTGCAACACAATGACATTTAGTTCTTTGGCAGCCTTTTAGATATATGTGAATTAATGCACTATTGTTTGAACTGAAGCATCTCATAATATCATATATGTAATGAATTTTGTATTATATAAAACTTTACAGCGAGCTATTTGAATGTTTAAAATTTTCAAAATGACATGGAAACATGTTTACTGTATAAATAAAAGCACTTATACATTAAGAGTGTACATTATTAATAATTTACATCATCAAAAGAAACTGGGATGTGAGTTAACCAGCACATACTACCAACTATATCCATATTGCAATTATGTTCATCATAAAACTATTTAGTCTTTACCTTAATAAAAGTTATATGCTTACATTAATTATTTTATACACATCAAAAAATAAACTGCATTTTAGTATAAAAGTCTTGGTAAGATATTCTCAATGCCTAATGTGTTTATAAGACTGTTCACTTAATTCAAGTGAAAAAGAATGCCTGACAATAAGAATTGATCAGTTCAGAAAAGCCTGCTAGAAAAAGGACTTCTAATACCAAAAAGTTTGGAATAAACTTGGCCAAATAAAATTAGGCAAGTCTGTATGTATCTTAGGCTTCCACAGACTAACATGTTACCAAGCTCCCTGCGGAAGATGACACTTTCCAAGTATTTTTGGCCATGGAAGCTTCTTCACAGAGCTCTTAACATCAAAGCTCATAGGAACACCTTTAAGAAAGGATAGGCTTGGGATTGTGTAAAGATTTCCAATACAAAGGGTCACTTGGTAGAAACTTTTATGAATAATATTTAAAGTTTACTTCAACTATGATCATTCAAGTGAGGAAGGTTATCGTAACTGACCTCAGAACATCACAGTGACTTGGAAATCCATCACCTGTTAAGAACATTGACTGTATCATCACCATTGTTCAATATAAAGGATATATAGTGTGTCTGCACTATACAGTTGCTTTTTCCTATATTTCTACTTAAAATTCTATACTTTATGTGGCTCAGTTAATGTCCTCTCACATGTTCATGAAAAAATATAATAATCAGAGGACAAGGACATATGAATTATTTTTGGCTCATTCATATAAAACTGACCAAGTGAATTTGACAGCAAAATATAAATTATAAAAAAATCAATGCCCAAAGGCTGTACACTATTTCCATCATGAGATTTTTAAAATTACGTAAAAGCTGACTTAAAATTTTGTATGTTTAGAGGAGATGTTTTTCTGAAATTAATACCATGTATCTCCCATCTTCTAAGACGCAGTTTTCAAAAATCGATATATTATTTTGCTTACCAGCCATATTATTTTTTTATTTTTTATTTTTTTAAATTATGTCAATTTATATTTGCTTTCAGGCTGGAAGATACTCAGTTCAAGAGTAAGAATAAAATATGGTTTATTAAATCTTCATTTAAAAAGACAGGGTGGGGCTGGGGATATAGCTCACTGGCATAAGCACCTGCCTGGCAAGCGCAAGGTTGTGAGTTTGATGCCCAGTACTGCCGAAAAAAAAAAAAAAAAAAAAAGAAGGGAATATTTAAGACAGGGTGTCTGCGAAAAAAAGAATATACAGAAGAACAATTTATATAGAGATTCAAGTGCTAAGAACTTGGCAACTTTCCTTTGCAATTTCTGCAGTAAAACTACCCAAACATGTTGCTGGGAGCCCACAAAGCTCAACAGCATACATTAAACAGACATGATCAAAACATGTGTGGGTTTGCAAATACAAAAAACAACCTAACAAATGTTAAATAAGCCAAATTTATTGTTTCTGAACATTTCAACAGAATGATAGATTACTTGATTCTTTAAAATGTTATATAAACTTGGTTTAACAGAACACATAAATGTTGACAATTAATTAAAAATATGTATTGTTTCCTGAAAAATCTATATTTAGAGAAAGATGCCATTTCAGGATATCTATATCTTCACTAATAAAATATAGTACAGAGAAAAAGCTATGTTTAAAAACTTTTTTTTTCACAAAAGACAATCATATATATTGAAGAAGAATATGCGTTGCAAAAAATAGAAAAGGAAAACAAGTAACTCCTGTACTCTTATTTCATTATAAATTCAAATTCAAGAACTAAAATTTGCTTATTTATAACATGTTTTACAGAGATGGCACAAAATCCACACTTTCCTTTCCAGGGGACCTTCAAATATCCACAGCACAAACAAAATTCAAAACTATAATATGCGATTTTGAGATAAGTGTAAGTAAGTTTTACCTATGCTTTTATCTTTTGGTTTCTTATACAATCTATCATGTTAGTACATTCCTCTTAATCTAGGCTATTATTGTTAAAAATTAAATCTAAGAAGTATTGACCTAATTTAATTATATATCAATATTTTACAGCAGTAGTCAGATATCTATAGTTGTAATTTTTTCAAAAGTAGTAATAACCCAAATAAACCATAACATGTACTGCTTTGAATTGTGCATTAAAAAGAAGCACATAGAAAGAGAAGAGATTTAATAGCCAAGAACATGATAAAGTGCCAAAAGTTTTACTTTAAAGCAATCCACTTCATTTCTTCCAAGCAAAAGGATTCACAGTATTTCTTTGCCTTTCAAATCCTGGGCATTCATATTTTCATGGTGCCCTGTAAAAACTAACACATAAATAAAGTTATCATCTGACAACAATAAGATACTTTTTAATTGTTTGGAGCTGATTATATTCAATTAGATCTTTTTTCATAAAAAGGAAACTTCAAGTGACATAGGGCTTGTAATTCAAGCCAATATACACTGGTCAGGTGTCTTTGACCCTAACTCCCATCAATAAATATAACAAAAACAAAGCAAGAACTCTGAAACCTTAAAGCATATGTAAAATATTGCTTCCTGTAGCTTCAACTAAAAAGAAAACTGGAATCAGGTTAATAGTAACATTTGAAATGAGAAATGAGTTTCCCTAATTTGTCATACATTAAAATAAACTGCTTTAGAAATATAGATCACTATATGTAAAATACTCTATATAAAAATAATGGTAATTTTTATCCTTTAAAGTGATTTGGAAGGCAAACTGCCAAAATATCATAAAATTTAAGAGGCTTTTTTATATAACATAAAGTAAAATTGGTATTTAGACCAACATTCAATCTTGTATTTGAGTTCAGCTGAACAAATACAAAAAAGAATATCGTCTGTAAGGTATATTATTTCTTCCCAAGCTTCATGCCTACAATCCTAGCACTGTAGGAGGCTAAGCAGGAAGATTGTAAATCCCAGCCCAATACAGGAAACCAAACAAATTAGTGAGACCCTGGCTCAAAATAAAAATTTTAAAAAGGGCTAGATTAAGTAGCTCGGTATGACAGCCCTGGGTACAGAATGGATGAATGAATGAATGAACATCAGTATTTTTATACCATATCACCAAACTTTCTGATACCTAAGAACACTTTCAGAACACAGTATAAACATCAAAATGTAAAGCAAGATACTCACATCTTCATACATAAAATTCACACTCCCTTGTTGCAAGTGATCTCTTCTCCTAAAGAAATCTTTCAATCAAGAAATAACATTTTAAAGCTATAATTTGAAATTGGTAAATTCAAATTCAAATGATAAATAATATCTCCAAGTACAGAGACTAAAGACTTTCATATCCAATTAAATAGTAAGAGACATTTTAAAGAGAAAAAATAAAAATAACAATAAAACTGTTTCAAAATAGGTTAGCAGGAGAGTTATAATAATTAATACAGTGTGCATTGTTGTCCTCATGGTAGTTATTCAGAGTACAAAACATAGGCATGATATCTTGTCCAAACAATGTTAGCATAAGCTTTTCTTTTCATTGAACTAAGAGAAACTAGCTGTATAACTATCTTAACTATCTTGTGTATAAATATATTTTTTTCCTTTTCCTTTTCTTTCTTTCCCCTTTTCCCCATCAGAGGTTATCTTTTCATTTGAACAGTCTCTTCCCAATTCACAATATCTAGTTCACATTTTGGATCTTATTTACTTGTTTAGTTTCTCCCACTAACGAGGATATGATGTTTACACATATGGGTCTGATTTATTTCACTTACGAGTATGATCTCAAGTTGCATCCATTTACCTATAAAAGTCTCCAGTTTGTCCTTCTTTATGGCTGAGTAGTACACCAGTACATCAAAAAAAAAAACCAACCCACATCTTTTTTATCCTTTCCTTAGTTGATGGGCATTTGGGTTGTTTCCAAGATTTAACTTTAACAATTGTGCTGCTATAAACATGGGTGCATATATATCACTGTGATAAGATGTTTTTAATTCTTCTGGGAAGATATCCAGAAGGAGAAAGGCTGGATCAAATGGGACCTCTAATTTAAGGAATGTCTACACTGAGAACTTGACATACAAATAAATGAAGCATATAGAACTCCAAATAGCCAATACCAAAATAAATCTACACCAAGGCATATAATAATCAAGATTCCAGAAATTTAGCACAAGAACAAAATATTAAAAGCAGCTAGAGAAAAGAAACATATTACCTATAAAGGAAAACCCATTAGAATCACAGTAGACCTCTCAACACAAACCCTCAAATCAAAGAGAGCTTGGAGTGAAGTATTTCAAGGCCTAAAGGAAAACAATCTTCAATCCAGATTGATGTATCCAGCAAAACCTTTCAAAATTGATGGAGTAGTAAGAGATTTAATATCCTAGGCAATTGAGTTATAAAGAAAACATTTTACAACTTGTATATCACAATTTTTCCCTACTTATATTAATAAATTTTAAAGCCTTAAATCTGATGAGGTTTAATAAAGAATAAAAGGAAAAATGCATTATGATACACTTTCTACAGGAAATAAGAGACCATATACAACAACTTAGGAGACCACATACAACAAAACAATAAGAGACCAGCTATATAATATTATACTCATTTTAAAAGGTCAATACCTGTCAATGCTCGAAGCTTCACACAGCAGGCAACATAATCATCAAAGAAGATTCTGCCATTCTTGCTATAACGTTGAACAATGGCATTTAAAGTTTGAGGACTCAATCTATAACCTAAGGAAAAAAGATTGATAAATTAATACTTCTAAACAAAATACCATATGATCACTGCAATTTAAATTTTGATTAGAAAATAAATTAGTTTCCAAAATTCATCCCACAAAAATATACTTAGGAGATGAAATACATTGAGACTGATCAAATTAAACCTTCATTATTAACCATTTCATAGATAACCACAGTTCTAGCTTTGTAATAAAGTCAAGTGAGGTAAAGAAATGCATAATATTGCAAAGGGTGTTTAAAATATATTTTGATTTTGAAATAATGTCTAGAGATGTTTCATAGGTTTTACAGAATATTTCATGGGGACAACATTTGATATTTCAATTCTGTAACTTTTTCTAGAATTTATACATTCATTTACTTCTTTTTCACTTATTTGTTTTATACCCCTGAGGATTAAACCCAGAGTCTTTGTACCCAGCTCCACCCTTAGCCCTTCCTATTCTGAGACAGACACTAAATCACCCAGGCTGGGATTCTTGCAAGCCTCGTGCCTCAGCCTCCTATAGTGCTGTGATTATAGAGCTGCATTTCCATGCACAGTTTATGGTTCTCAGAGAACACCAAAGCAAAGATTATTAATGCTCTTTACTATCATTCAAATCCTGTATTTCTCACTATTTCTCTTTTATACCTAAAGAAAATTTGAGGATCAAGCTGGTTACTCAGAAACAGAAGAAAATGCTATTCCTACTTATCCTATACCTGTTACTCTATTGTTTCACATATAGTTTACTGTTTGCTTGTTTGTTTTCTTATAAACTTGTTGCCTCTAAAATTTTTTATTGTAAACTCCTATCTATAACATGTATGTAATCATGGATTTCCAATATATGTGTTTAAGTTAGCCTTAAATTCTATACACATATTATGATTTGAAAAGTTATGTTTTAAAATATACATAAAGTCTGAAATTTAAAAAGAATAGGATATATGTAAATAGAAATAAGAGTTAATGTGTTCTCTTTGATATATCCCTAGTATACATTTAGTGAGACATGTACATTGCCAAGTATTATTTTGGAGAGGGACATGTGGAAAAATAATGTTCACACTTCCAAAAGTAAAAAACAATGAAAAGAAATGCAAGAAAAGAAATAAAATGTTACACATGAAAATTGCTAAAAGTAAAATATAAATTGAGATAAGTAATAACAAATAAAGCATTACCTGAAAAGGCATTTTGAGTTTTCTATTAGGGTTACAGTCTAGATGTGGTAATGATAACATGCCTAAAAATTTCCTATAGTATTCTCAGCAAAATAATTTTGAATATTTTTTTTTTTTTGTCTTTTTGAGGCAGGGTCTCTCTATGTAGTTCAAGCTGGCCTTGAGCTCACTTTGTAGCCCAGGCTGGTCTCAAACTCTCAATGATCCTCCTGCCTCAACCTCCCAAGTGCTGGGATTACAGGCGTGCACCACCACGCCCAGCAATTTTTAAAATTTTAAGAATATATCTGAGGATGGTAAATTTTAATAATTCAGAATATCCCTTCAACTGCTTATGTGAATTCTTTAGAAGATATTTTTCAAAGACTATATTAATTTCTCAACATTATGCTAAATTAAAGATCAAGTATAGGCCATTAAATATTAAGATCTTAAATTGAGCTATACATACTTGTATGGCCAGGACAATCCCTAACTACTAAATTCAAATATCTGCTTATAAAACAAAATAAAACAATCAGTTTGAGTGCTTAAACTTGTAATTTGAGATAATTCTATATATTAAATTCAATTTTAATTTCTGAAACAGTAATTTTCATAAATACATATTTTGTTTAGAAATAAGTATAAATAAAATTACAAGGGAAAAAATTAACAAAGCAATTTAAAACTACATTAACTGTAAGCAACTTAAATATTACTGCAATTATCATTTTAGAAATTTAAGTAGGTTAACTTATCAAATATACAATGAAAATAAATTCACATTCTTTTAAAATATTTTAAAACGCAATATCCTTGCCCTCACTGTGTATACTATATAAGAAAATAAAGGAAGCAAAAAAATGCTTTTTTACTACTGATTACGTGCTAGAGGCTAATACAGAGATTTGTCACTGATTGAGATAAGCCAAATCAGAAATAAATTAAAATATACATAGAGGAAATTCAGGATGGATGTATGTGTTCATCTTTTGAAAAGTAATTTTGTTTATTTTTTAAAAGTAATTTTGCAAAGGTCTCTATTCAGAATTTACCTACAAACTGACCTTAAACTAAGGAAATTGCTGTTCAAAAAATTACATATATAATCTTTATTACTTAGCAAATTGAAGCAATGAAGATTAACATGATCACAGAAGAAAGATGACCCATATAGATCCTTTAAAAATATAGTTTTCTTACCCATAATAGCAATGGCTTGACTGAATTCATGATGCTCTACTGAACCGCTTCGGTCCTGATCAGTGTTCAAGAAGTTCTGCTTCCAGGCATTAATAGCTGCCCAAAGCTCCTTGAATTCATTAAATCCCATTTTTCCTGTATTATCTCTCTGATAGTTTTATTAACAAAAATAAGTTCTGGTCCCTTAGAGGATGTACTTGACCCAAAACTCCAAATTAATGACTGAAAAATATGCTTCTGCAGAATAGCTTCATTCACCATATGAATATAATTTCACATAAAAACATAAGTGTCAAGACTGCAAACAGGATCTTACAAAGTATTTTACAACTTTTTAGTTTATTACTTTATAGTCACTTATAACGAGCAACTGGCTCAATATTTGGAGAGTATTAACTAAACATCCTAGTAGCTTCTACTTTTATACAAGGATACATCCAACATGGCAATCATAATTCTGCAAGTCTCCAAGCTGAAGGCTGCAAGACATATTCAATATTTGAATCAAAGTCCTCTAAACTTTATGTAGAATTATGAAAATCTTTATTTCTAAAACACAACATTTAACATCTGTCAAAAATACAACCACTATAATCAACAAACTTTCATAAAATGTTAAGTATTTATAGTAAGAAGAAAAAAATCCAAAATATTGTTTTCCAACACTCATACATAGTGAGAGAATTAAAGTAATTAAAGAAGCAAATATAAATAACCCAAAATTAGTATCACAGATTTCTTTAGGTGTTTAAAGCACTTGGCTTTGCCTGGATCCCAAAAAGGAGGTCTTCAATTTTTACAGCACAATTTGACAAGTGAGTTTTAAGTAGCAGTTTGACAGGTAATCACATAGTCTTGAAGGAGTCAGAGTACAAGAGAAGGAGTGGTGTATGAGGACATCAACAAGACAAATTAAGACCACTCTTCAATACCACCAGAAAGAGTTTAAAGCAGTACAGTAAATGTAGATAAACCATCGGTAGCTTATTACAATAGACCAAATTTTAAAAGATGTGTCTCTGATCTTGAGCAACTGTCTTTCCTTGAGAGTGGAGGAAACAAAGGAAAAATAAATCAATACAAACTATCCTAACATCAAGGGTTATTAAAAGAGATAGTAACAGGGGTTGGGGATTTAGCTCAGTGTCACAAAGCCTGCCTCATAAGCGCGAGGTTGTGAGTTTGATTCCTGGTACTGGAAAAAATAAATAAATAAATAAATAAATAAATAAATAAATAAATAAAAGAGACAGTAACACACTCATACTGACTGCAATACAATGAGCCAACTAAAACATACTTAATTTTTCGAAATGTATCTCAGTTACATCCAATAGTAAGTGTACTATTGGATTTATCTCAAGATCAATTACATCATATTCTTAATAAAGGAGATATTCTATTAAATAGGTCAGTTAAGCTTCCAAAGTTTTTACCAGCAGCTCTTGAGATGACTGACTGAATGAATACACAAATAAATTTAAAATTAAGTCATTTATTTTATGCTACTGGATAATTCATTGTGAACTTTTGGAAAAGAAATTATGTCAGCTAAATTTTAGACCCACTAATGAAAATTATAAAATATTCTACAAAGTAAAATAGCTGACTTTCTTTAAATGTTTAATAATGTGCTGATGTAAGAGTGTTGAGTGTACAGTAATATTTTCACAATTACAACTCAGCAGGTAACTCACTACTTAGCAAGTCCAGTAGTGGGTATTCCATGGTCATAAACTTGTCAAATGCATTATGTCCCTAATTTTACAAATGAAGAAACCGAGGCCCAGTAAGAGTTTCCCAAGTTCATACAACTAATAAGAGAAACAATCAAGACTGGAACTCAATATAACTTTCAAACAAGCACTCTTCGTGGAATAGTGTTGCATGAGAAATGTATGGAATGGTGTTTCACCTTTTCACAAAATAAATAACCCACTGTGCTTTAAGATTAATTTAGCACACAATCATGAAATGGTAAAATCTAAATGGATAATCATAAATGGAAAAATTAAATAACACATAAGAATATCTTCAGTTTCAGAACAGAATAGTATATACAAAAAGAAATATTTTATAAAGAAATAGAGACATTCTTAACCCTTTCCATACAACCCATCTGAATGAACAGTTTATTTTTTTAACAAAACATAAACTTTTAGAGAAAAAGCCAATGCAAGAAGAACCACAAGGAAAAGATTTTGCAAGTTACAAAGTCAACAGATGTGAGCTAATATTTACTCATAATGAGAACAGCTGAAAAGAAACCTAGTTATCTTGGATGAGACTCCAAATGTCTAAGAATTAGCAGTACTTATGAAAATATGTGTGAAGGTGGAGATAAAAACAGAACTGCATGATGTCTATTTAAGGAGCATCTAATGTCCCCAAAACCCTCCATGCCTCTGTTTAGTTGATGGCTGTCCCACTTACTCTCACCCAAGCAGAAGTTTGCAGTTCTATTCTTGGGAGCTGTCTCTGGACTGTAGAATACCAGGCATAGTTGGTATGAGCTATCTACTAAAACAAGGCAACCAAATGAAATTTTACAAAAGACTGAGGGGCTGGGGATTTAGCTCAGTGGCACAGTGCCTGCCTGGCAAGCACAAGGTCATGAGTTCGATTTCCGGTACCAGGAAAAAAACCAAAAAAAAAAAAAAAGAAATTTTACAAAAGACTGAAGAATCTCTTCTCCAGACATATCAACTAAAGAAACAACCCCCTCAAAAAATCCGTAAAGGTATACCCAAAGTTCCATAGTTGTCTGGTCACTTTTCTCTCCTTGCTGAGACAAAATACCCAACACCAAAAATTAAGAAAAAAAGGTTTATTTAGCTCATGGCTTGTGGAGGTTTCAGTCCATACTTGGCTGGCTCCAGGGCAGAGTGGCACATGGCACAGGGCAACCATTCATGGTGTGGAAGACAGAAAAAGCAAAAAGAGGAAAAGGAAGGACCTGTGGGAAGCAGCCTTTTTCCCTCCCTTACACTGTATGCAAACTATTCACCCCAGGGAAGGTGTAGCACTCACACCCATAATTCCAACATTTAACAGTGAATCAATCATAAACTCTAGAAGTCCATTCCATTACTGCATGAGGCTTTGGGGGGACATTCAGACACAAACTAAAACAATAATAAAACTGCCCAGGTAACAAGTATACCCTGAATTAGTATATCAACAATTAGCACTTCACCATGCTAGTCAGTGCTAAGCCTTACAGTCAATTTTTTAGTAAAAGATAAACAACAAAATATCATCAGATACTTAAGAAAAGACGTGAAAGATAACCAAACAAACAAACTGGGAAGATAAAAACAATTTTGAAGAGAGAGCTATTACATAGAAAGAAAAAAACTAAGTATATCAAATATCTCATAGAGATAATAGAAGATATCACATTCAGGGAGAAAATATACAGAAGCACATGATTCTTAAAAACCATTTTGCTATTGTTTTTTTTCCCATTTCTCTTTAAAATTTAAAAAAAACTGAACAGCATAAAGAAAAGAATGAAGTAAGTTTTAAAAAGTAAAGAAGATATTTTGCAAAAAGTAGAGTGAGAGATAAAAAAGACAGAAAACCCAGTCCAGTTCAAATAACAGATGTTAAAAAAAGAAAGTAGAGAAAATAATTGAAAATATTTCCAAGAACTAATTTATGTCCTCAAACTCAATACACTCTTTAAGTTCCCCCGACAAGACAACTAGGCACATGATGTGAAATTTCAGAACACTAGAGGCAAAGAGAGGATATCACGAGCTTCCTGGGTGGAAAAGTAAAGCACATGTGGGGAAGAGAAAGGGAAAGCCATGGTGGAAGCTAAAAGCAAGAGTGATACTTTCAACAGTCTCTGTGAAAGTCATTTCTAACCTAGAACTCTATACCTGCTCCAACAACTTTGAAGGTAGAATGAAAGCAATCCCAGATACACAAGGGCTAAAAACTTTGCCTCCCTGGCACTCTTTTATTTAGAAGCTCTTTAAAAATATAGTATTTCACTGAAATAAGAGACTGTTTTTCAGAAGAAAGAAGACAAGAGCTGGGAGTGGTGACACAGGTCTCTAAACCAGCACTGAGGGAGGCTGAGGAAGGAGGATCAAAAGTTTGAGTTCTGACTGAGCACTTACTAAGACCCTGTTTCAAATAAAAATAAGAAGATCTGGGGAATAGTGCACCCCTGGGCTTGATCCCAAATAACGAAAAAAAAAAAAAAAAAAAAAAAAAAAGAAAAAGAAAAAAGACAAGAGGAGATGGAGTAAGGAGACAGCAACTTAAGAGAAAGGTGAAAGACAACTCCAGGCAGCAGAAAGAAAATCCCAGAATGATGGTGAAGAATGCCAGTGTGACAAATGTGTGCAGAGAACGGAGCACATCAGAAAACCCCACGTTGATGGGAAAGATAGAACGCCTCACAGCTATTAATTTCATAGAAAGTGAAAAGTTACATGAAAAGGAAAAGTACTCACACATTATCACAAGACACTGCTATGGACAGTGTGTAGAAAGTAAAAATAAGGTAAACGTGTATTATGTACCTAACAGGGTTATGATATAACTGCATGGAAGAGCAGGAAGATGCAAAGACTTCTGTGTGGAGATCAAGGATGAGCTGACTTTAACGTTGAAAGCGAGTTAAATCCTTACTTCACAGGAAGACACAAACTGATAAGTATTAAACTGAACATATATAGCATTAAAGGCCCAGTATTTTGAGATCTGGATGACAATTTTTAAAAAGTCAGCTGAAACAAATTTGAAAGAGGTCTCTTTTATGACAGGTTGATGTTGGGAAGCCAGGAATGTACAATGAAGTTATTTGTGTAACAAGCTCTGCAAGACTGACACAGATTACAGAGGCTTTAATTCCCCACCAAGGTTATCTTCTGGGAAATAAGAGGTTCTTGGGAAGATGGCTCCACCACTGTCCAGGTTCAGGAGCATGTGCCTCCTCCCAGCTTTTCCATCACCTTGGCATGCCCAATATTCTTGAACTTGACCAGCACGTTCAATATGCCATTGGAGCGGCAGCAGAGAGCACCTTCCACCACCCTCCACAACGTTTTCCCATCTGGGCCTAGATGGAGCTGATGCACTGAAGCAGATCTCCATTTCAAGTGCAAACCCAGATGCCATAAGTAAAGAACTGAAAAGACATGTACAGAAATCCTGCAATCTTGTGCAACAGCTGCTTGTGCACCTGTACAAGTTCATCATTTCTGTCTATACAAGTTTTACTCCTTCCGATACAAATGGCAAATAAATATATGAGAAAATGTTCAACATCATTAGTCATTCGAGAAATGCAAATTAAAACAACACTGAGATTCCACCTAACCCCACTAAGAATGGCTAGCATTAAGAAATCAACCAATAACAAATGCTGGCGAGGCTGTAGAGAAATAGGAACCCTTCTCCACTGCTGGTGGGAATGCAGACTGGTGAAACCACTGTGGAAATCAGTTTGGAGATTCCTCTGAAAACTAGGCCTAGAGGTCCCATTCAACTCAGCTATCCCCCTGCTTGGTATTTTCCCAAAAGATCTAAAAACATCATATCACAGTGATGTATGTGCACCCATGTTCATAGCAGCACAATTTGTAATTGCTAAAATGTGGAAGCAACCCAAATGTCCATCCACTGAGGATTGGATAAGAAAATTGTGGTACTTTTATATAATGGAATATTACTCAGCTGTAAAGAAAGATAAACTCGAGGCTTTTATAGGCAAATGGTCACAACTAGAGACCATACTCATAAGCGAAATAAATCAAACATACATGTGCAAGCACCGCATTGTTTCTCTAGTGTAAAGCCTGAAAGAGTTAATTTAATCTAGGAGATATGATAGACATTGAGAATTGATAGGAAAGCACTCATAGGTAAAGGATAACTGGGATATGGGAAAAGAGAAGGGAAAGAAGGAGAAAGTTTGTATATATGTATATGCAGGATAGTTAACACGGGTGTTCTACTGTCCTATATTTCCTTGCTGAAAGAAACTGTCAGTGAGGCATTGGTTGATTAGCTTTGTATGTCTATATGTGTTTTCATGAGAAACTACATTGAAGATATCAATATGTAATACAATAAGCATTGTTAATTCCCTACCACTCTGTTTGTAACTCTGTAATGTCTGTACTGATCCTATGCTATTTTGTAAAATGTTGTCGGTCTGTTAATATTTTTCTTCTTTTATTTCTAAAATTAAAAAAAATTTAAAAATTAAAAAACAAAAAAAAGTTTTACTCTTTCCATCCTTGGAAAGCCAAGCCCGAGATCCAATCCCATGTGCTGCTGCTCTTACGCTCAAACACGGCCTCAACAATACCTTATTCAGGTGGTACTGCTTGCCTCTTCAGGGTTCCTGTCTCAAACAAGCAAAAGAATCCAAGGTTGAACTGGTAACACTAAGAGGCTGTAACACTACAAGCTGTTAACACCAGGAGGGGCAACAGAACTATCTGACTCTTTATGTTCCACAAAATTTTTAAAAAATATTCTAAGTATGGAGAAAAATTAGAAAATGAATTTCGTATTTCAATTCTATAAGAGAGGGAAATGAAAGATCTCACGAGAATAAGATCCACTAATTCCAGACTCTGTCAAACACTTTTGCAGTTCTTCAGCATCCACTTCACCATCCTGTTAAAAAATGATGATAACATGATTTACTGTGTAGCTGTGAAAGCATATTAAAATGTTAATTGACTGCTCTAAGCTAATCAAGAAATTTGCAATTTTTAAAACATTATTAACAATTAAAAACTCTACAGGTAATTACTGACAGCAGAAAACTATTACAAAACAGGCTGTGATGAATCATTATCTTCACTTCTGATAAACAACACTATCATTCTGTCAAAATAATGTGTGGGAGCCATTGTTTTCTATTTAAAACAGGAAAACACCTAAAGTGTTCTCACAGCACTTGCAAGAACTTCCCAACTTCTGCCCATTTTTTGGAAAAGGGATTATTTCTAAGGAAAAACTTTGAAGCTTTTTTTGGAAGGGAAAATCATCTTTTTTCCTCCTCACGTTTACCTTTAGCAAATTTTTGAAGTCCCTCCGTACTTTGTTGCTGTTCTTCAGATTATTGTCCAAACACTGTTGTTTGAATTTATTGGAAATAAATTCAATTTTATTGGAAAAATTAACTATATTTTTCTGAGCATGGTGGTGCATGCCTATAATTCCAGCACTTGTGAGGCTGAGGCAGGAGAACTGCTGTGAGCTCAAGACCAGCCTGAATTATATGGTGAGACCTTCTCAAAACAAAACAACAAGAAATTAACTATTTTAGACTATTAGAGTACAAATTTTTTCTTTAAAAGAAATGTATAAGGACTTTTTGGCATATTTTATTTAACCAGCAATCATCTGCCTTCATATTTAAGTACTACAGCAACTGTTAAAAACCTTTATTACATTTCAAGACTCTTATAAAAATATGAATACATGTCTGTGTTCTAAACAGAAATCAACAAGAAAACACTGTATTAATTATGGCATCTGCCACCGCTAATACCACCTCAGGAAGATGATGAACATAAACATTGGGTTGTCAGTTGTTGCATACTAAGTGGTAAAAGACTCTTACAAACTATTAAAATAGAGGCAAAGGTGGTAAATGACTTTCTTCTTTTTGTGCTTTTAAATATCTTCTAGTACACTAAAGATAACAGTTACTATTTTCCTTCTTAAACTTTTCTTGAGTAAGAAAATCCTATTCTACTTGGTAAAATTAATGAGAACTACTAAGAATAATTTGCTTCTCCCCACTTAATATATTATATAGACAACATAAATCTCTTAATAAAGTATAGAAGACACAAACTTAAAATTTTCAAACAAAATTGGAATTGCTGAAAATCTAGAAATTCCAATTAAAATGAAGAGAATTGAATGTTGCATAGTTTGATGATATTTTCTGTTCAAGTATCAGCCTCTTCTGTACCATTTCACACAAAGGTCTACCAAGCCTGAATAGGCTACTCCTCTAGATTCTAGACAGAACAGAAGGAACCTTGAAAGATGTCATGATTCTTTTATAGCAAAAGAAAAAGAAAGAAAAGAAAGATAAAGAAAAGAACAAAAACTTGAAAACAAAAAATGTTGGTTGAAAAGATTTGAGAAAATGTTATTGCAAATATGCATTGAAAAACATAAAAAAATATTTTAAGGGTCTTCTCTGGATCCTTCTGAATGGAATGGAACCTGAGAAACATACATAACTGTTTCCTGTCCCACACAATAAAACAGAACTTTCAACTCCATGTGCCACATTCCAACCTGTTCATGTCTGCAATGGTGCATGCTTGCCTCACTTACCGCTCTGAAAAGATACAAGACAGATGAAAGTTGGCTTATATGTCTTGTACTTCAGAATGAATGCATATTCTTCTTCTTAAAAATTAAGTCTACAATTTTGCCAGAGAATTAAATGCTTGAAGACTCAGGAAACTTTCCATTAAATTCCTTGAAAAGTTCCTGAGCACTTTAAGTTCTAAACATTACTGATCAATTGATTGACTGATAGATTGATAGCAAAGTCTCACTACATTGCCCGCATGGGTCTCCAACTCTGGAGCTCAACTGCTCCTCCCACCTCAGCTTCTTGAGCATTTAGAATTAGAGATGTGTGTCACTGTGGCAACGCACTTGGCTGATCTGCTATAAACTCATCTTATGAAACTTTTTATGATGGGTATGTTATCATCCAATATAAAATCCTTTCCCTCACTCTACGCTAAGCTACTAAATATTTGGATTTCTCTAAAACCAAGAAGACTAAAGCATGACAAGTAAACTGGTTCTCATTTTAGTATCTTACAAATGTAAAATCCTCATAAAAATAGAACAGGCTTCCAGACTGAGAGTCATGATCAATGTGAGCACCAAGGTGAGTGGTGCTTATTCAGAAGTTGAGAAAAAATTAGCTGCATTTCTCACTACTGGATTTCTAATTAATTTTCATCTTTTGAGAAGCTACATATAAGAATTATCATAATTATTGAGTTTTAAAAAAAAACATAAATTTTGCTTCTGAGGCAAGTCCCTTGTGTGTCTTCGCCTAGCCTAACCCTAAATTCCTGAGCAACACAACAGCAGTAATAGGCTACACCAAGAGTTCCTTTGGGGGTATTGCTATAGCAACTAAGGAGAAATGGAACAGGGTGAGAAAAGACATATTTATTTATCTATCTAAATACCCCCGAAGTTCATATTGCTTTAACTGAACAGTTTCTATTTTATAAAATTGTGTGAAACTAAAGTATATGTATATGAAATTGAAGCTCTACATTGTGTTTGGGCACATTATGTAGAGATAAAATTAGGAAGGAAAGGGAGCAGGCACTTGCAGGCTGAGCAAGCATTTGCCTCACATGACCTCACATGTTACCAGGATGAGTATCACACTGGCTTTGTCTTGTTTTGTTTTGTTTTCCTAGTTGTGCTTGAACCTAGCGCCTTCCGTTGTACTGAGCTTCATCTCCAGTTAGCCCTTTTTTATTTTAATTTTTACTTTGAGATAAGGTCTTGCTAAATTGTTAAAGTTGCCAGGCTAACCTCAAATGTATAATCCACCCGCCTCAGGCTTCCAGAGCTCTGGGATTACAGGCATGTGCACCATGCCCAGCTATTGCATTACCTTTAAGTAACCCACACATGCAAGTAGAATGAAGCACTAGATTCATGAAAATGTTTTAGGCAGTAGTGGATCACGTATATGCCAGCAGTTGCAAAAGATTTCAATGGATCTGAAAAATCTTGTATCATCTAGTACGATGATTTGAATAACTTTCATAAGTTCGTGTGATAAGGCTTGGCTCTTGGGGGGGGGGGTGGCAGGACCCAGGAGGAGAGCCATAGGCCTGTTGGAGTAGGCTTTCCAAGGTGACTGGGACTCATTCCTCACCTCACGGCAATTAAATCTCAGCATGAGTTCCAGTGGGGACAAGTAACATGAGAACCATAGCAGAAAGCATTGTACATGTGGATGAATCAGATTTCTTCACTTTGAAAGTTTCTCTTTTACTTAAATGAACACTATATCAGTCACTGTGCCAGCAGAAATAATTATCACTGCCTTCATCTCTAAACTCAAGAAAAATTTTGTATACATACGTTTAAAATATAAATTTAAAGTACACTTTATACATTAAGTAAAACAGCTGATATTTTTAAAGTAGCAATAATTTAAATAAACTAATATGTATGTAACAATTTTATTATCTCACCTGTCCAGCAACATCAGTGAAGAAAGTCCACATAGAGTCATTGGCTGAAGAACAGCTGCCCGGATACGGTGTGTACCCAGGCTGGTATCCACCAGGGCACATGTGTGGATCTACTCCTGGCACTGGCTGTCCTATCTGTATCTCTATTCCTTGTGACGGAGCATGAAAATTTCCAAACTGTAAGAATGAAAGAGGAGAATGTTAATAATATCAGTTCCCTGCTAATGTCTGTTTAATACAAAATGTTTATTAGAAGTCTATTAAAAATAAAAATACAGTGACCAAAAGCTTCTAAACCTGAATATCACACACACAAAAAAATACTGGATAGCCTATAAGGAGACCAAGTTCTTTAACATGTTATCCAGCATTAAAAGAAACATAAAAGTCTCTAGCCACCAAGACCATAATTTAACAGAAAAACATGAGATAAAGTTTGTAAACGTTTTTACCATAATCCTCTCTTATTTTTGTCTTTTCACTTTGCGACTTAGTATATATTTTTAATATTTTAGAAAAGCATTTTAACTCAGCATTTTATGAATTCAGAGGAGGAAGAAGCATTAAAATTTTTGATTATTCCATTTTGAATAAATATTTTAACCTGTATTATAGAAGGATGATCAGATTGTCAGAAGGAAGAAAGAGAAAAAATTTACAATTATGAGGGATGACAAAACAATAGGGTATAGAAGGAGTTTGAATAGCTCTAGCTACGGGATGTGGTAAGGTTGGAGGAAGAGAGGAAATAGTGGTTCTCTAGCAGGCAGTCAAAAGTAGAGTATGAAACACAGAGGGGAAACAGGCAACACTAGAACAGAATACATTGAATCCCTAATACAACTTTTCAAGGAAAGAAAGGACTGACTGCAACGGGACAACCTAATTTCAGAAATAAAAAATAAAAGGGGGTATATAACAACCAATATAACTTGAAAAAATATGATTTATATATACATAGAGATGTCCTAGGAACATCTTTACATCAATATATTTAAAAGTATGGGGCTTAACAAAATTATATAAATCATGAAAAACTGATTCATGGGAAAAACCTTCACTCTTTCTAATACCGACATGCTAGAATAATTTGATGCACCTTAACCCTGAAGATAGAGCACGTCATAGAAGATTATTTTTAAATGCCCTTAAGAATGTTGACAGAAGGCAAGTTTTAGGGCCAATATATGGGCACACAGATAAACTCTGGAGTAAAAAGATCTTACCTTGTGAGCTTGTGGCAGCCACACCTGGTATTTGGCCCCAAGGCCTGCAGAAATATGTAAGACAACTAAGGCCTAGAGCACAATCAATAATTTAAACTAAACCCATACTGGAGACCCTCCTCACCTTACGCTTCACACAAGGGTGAAAAACCTAAAGATGTTTTATGAGAAGAGAGGCCAAACTATAAGTACAGTAATGGAAAGGTAATGTTGAGATGGTGCCAAAGCTGGGGTATGGAGCCTCTACTGTAGCATCTTCATTTCTGTCATGAAAGACAAATATATCTTGTTTTTATAACCAAAGTCAGGTAGACAGTATTAATTGAAGAATCTGTCTCTAGGGATTACCTCTCTCTGTCCTCTTTTCCAATTTTTGGCACTGACTTTCCCAAAGCCAGTAACTGCAAGAACCTGGTGGTCAGTTTAAAGATAGCTGCATTCTCTTCGTGACTCTTCTCATTCGAAGCCGAGTTTCCCTTGAATCTAGGCTGGGCCTGTGTTGCGCTTCACCTGGTAAACATGGTACACACAGTACCCCATGCCGTTTCTAGGCTTCTGTCTGTGAGAGGACCTGCAACTTGTTTTTCTCAGGAAGAATGCGGCCAGGCCACGGTGTTTGGAAGAAGCCGAAGAACGACGCATGCTGGAGAACTGGGATCACGGGGAGCAAGATTTGGTCAAGGGCTGCTCTCCCCATCTGCACCGCAGTCTTTCCCTTCCCTTCTCTCCCTCCCACCTGGGCTGTCCCAGGGTGAGGGGCTTTCCTCTGCCACGCCCTTCTGCCACTGAAGTAAGCTGACTGTGAACTGAAACTGCTGAGAGCCTAAACCAAAGTAAGTATTTCCTCTTTTGGATAGTTTTTTTCTCAGGAATCTGTCACAGGGAAGAAAAGCTAACCCAGGGGTCTAAATTGAAGAGTGGAAGTTGGCGAAGGGAATCTGGGTAAATTTTCAAGCAAATCAATTTTAGGAACGAGTATGTGTCTAAATTGTGAGTCTAAAAATTCTTTACCTTACAAAATAACGTTTTCTACCGGGAAAAGGAGTAATTCCTTTGATGATCACTAGCATATGCCACTGTTAAATCCTATATTAAAATTAACAAAGCACAAACTCTGTTTTTAGTTTTTTTGTTTGTTTGTTGGTTTTTTTGGTTTTTCTCCGGTACCGGGAACCGAACTCACGACCTTGCGCTTGCCAGGCAGGCGCTTTTTGCCGCTGAGCTAAATCCCCAGCCTCCAAACTCTGTTTTTAAAAAAACCAAACAGACAATAACAGCCAATGTGCTGTCTTTCGCCTGTACCCCCAGAGCTCATTCCACAATCCCAATTTTGTGAACACAAAATGTGCACACCTCACTTTGAAGATCACTGATGCAAATATTTAAGGCTGGGGTTCCCCTCCAGAAAGAAAGAACTAATCACAGGATACTACACTTACAACTTCTCTCAAAGGCCGTGTAGGAAAAACAGTATTTACGAACAAATAGTCTTCCTTCCCTCCAAAAACAAAATCAAGAAAAGCAGAAAGCCTAGAAGATAACACTAACTAATAGCAAATAATAACAAATAATCTTCCTCGCCCCCAAAAACAAAATCTGGAAAATCAGAAAGCCGTTCGTATAACGGAAAAGTTTAGGACCCGTCCAGAATATCGCATTATTCTTTCACAAGCAATTTGAAAACAAGAAGTGGTCAAAAATTTAGAAAGAGGCTCTATGGCAAAACTAAAAGATCACTGGAACGAGAAATGAGTCTCTTTTCTCCCTCCCAGGAAGGAGCTGTCCCAGAACAGGTCACCCTGTGGGGGTGGTGCTCGAGGACCTGGCACCTGAGGTTCCAGCTGCCCCCCTGCTCCAGGCGCTCCAGGCTCCGAGCAGAGTCCGGCGCCCTCTGGCACCAGAGGCAGCTAGGAAGCGGGGAGAGAGGGCGGATCCCGCCCGGAGGCACCGTCCGCTGGGGCCACCACACCCCGCGAGGGCGCAGGTGAGGGGAAGCGGCTAAGACTCACTCCGTATCCCGCGTAGGCCATGACGAGCCAAGGCCGTCCCCCGCTGTCACCTTCCTAGTCCGCTTAGGCCAGGTGGAAGAACCGCGCAGGTGCAAGCACAAGTGCAGGTGCAGGCGCAGGTGCAGGCACAGGTGCAGCTGAGACGCGAGGCCCAGGTACCCGGGTCCTTCACTGCCTCCAACCTGCCGGGTCCCCCGAGACCAGCCCCACCCTGCCTGTTTCCCATTGGCTGAGTCTCGCCCTCCGGAGCCCATCGCGCGAGAGCCCGCCCTTTCCAGGACTCTCGCCTCACCCTTCTCGTCTCTTATTGGCTACAACCTGTCGCCTGCGGCGGAGCTCATCCCTGCCTGGCACTTACTGGCTATCTCAAATTCTTAACCCAACAATCCTTTCCCTCTGTAATTCCCACTTTCTCTAGAAAGGTGCTCCAGGTCATCATGTCTTTTTTTTAAATTTTAAACAGAGCAGTAAATGAGAAACAAACAAACAAAAAATAGAACAGTAGCAGCATGCCAGTATCACAAACATAAACAAACCAAAGCAAGAACATTTAAAGTGATACAGGATTTCAAGTCAAAATAATACGAATTAACAGTGATTGTTACATTACATATCGCTATCCTCAACTACGTTGCTCAGATTACCTGATGTAAGAATGGAAGATTGCTTAAAGCATTAAAGAGAATAAGAAAATAATTATTAGATAAAACATTAGAGATAATACAGAGTTTCACTAGACAAGATGGTAGGAGGTCACCATTGTAATTCCATTGCATATTGTTACCTTCAAGTCAGTTTCTCAGATTACCAGACACAAGCATTGAAAATCGATCAGAACATAAAAAAGTCATAAGCATTAACTGTTCATTTCAATACACCATCAGACATCAGCAATATAGTCATTGCAGCTATTCATATATGTATATATAAAGTTCTTTTCTCTCCTAAAACCCCAGATCAACCAATCAGTCCCCTCTTTGAATTTAGACTCTTTTGGCCTGAACTTCAAAATACTACACAACTGTGAATATCAAAAATTGCTTATATTTACTTTTGGGTATTGTTGATGTCACCAGAGAACTTCGAAGTCATGAGCACAGCTAAGCCCCCTCGGGAAGAACTTCTGGGTTAAAGTCCACTGTACTTGATTTAAGAAAAGGTTATTTCTAGTGGTTCATAAACGGTGAATAGTTGTCAGATGTAGTAAATAAAAATAGAGAAATTCCGGTTAAATTTGATTTCTCAAATAAATGAGTTTTAGCATCACAAATATTGCACTTGATTATATTTAAAAATTATATGTACTGTTTATATGCTCAGTATGCAAAACATCCTGTAAATTATCTGGCAACCCTACCTGTGGCTCAACCTCTGGGCAAACTATTAAGACATGCTTCCTTAGTTATGTATGCTGGGACAACAGGGTTTTTTTATCAATTGTATTTTTTAAAATCCTTTAAAAGTCTCATACTTTGCCAACTGAGCTATCTGGGCACTTTTTATGTTTTAAATGTTCAGTTATTTTGGATTATTAAATATTAGCAGTTGAGAAATTTGCTTTTCTCTGGAATCCAAGTGAATTCCATAGTTCTAACTTAAAAAATAAAACAAAACAAACAAGCGAAAAAAAAAAAAAGGGTAGCTACAGATTCAGTTTAAAAACAAAAAGATTACGGTGATACTAATTAATATTTTAAACATAAGAGAAGTGTTTAACCTGTTTCATAAACGAGCATTGTCACAACAAGCATCCACTGTTTGGAGAAGAAGTCAGCCTTGCAGAGCTGAGCAGCTTAACTATTGCTCAGCCACACCGCAGCGGAAGGATACACTGGCTCTTGTGAAATGAATTTACCAGAAAGAGGCAGGGGAAAGGAAGATTGCTAGGGCACAAGCTGTTCTTTGGAAAGTGTCAGTTCCTCTAATAAAATAGGAAATTTTC